GAGACTATATATCTCAATAAATTATATTAAGTATGACTGCTCATACATTCTTTATTAATATAGTTTATAAAAAAAAAATTATAAATATAACTTTTTACTTTTTATAATTCTCATATCTTTAACTTTATGTTTATTGCAAATTAACATGTTGTTTACGTCATGTTTAGCAAATCAATGAATGCCTTGTCTGGTAACTGTTCAAACAATAAGAAAAAGAAAATAGCCTGAAGGCGTGTGACAATGTCAACAATGAATGTTCTCAGGATGTAACACTACATCATTGCTGTATTCCATGCTCTGCATGACTGTGTTTTACTAGCTACATCACTCTGTTATTACCTAAGTCTATTTATATATGTTACATTTAACATTTGTCATGTGATGAAAAACTACCAATAACGTAAATTCGTTTTATTTTTTTCCTTGATATATATATATATATATATATATATATATATTTAGTAGAAACTTATGCTCCAAACACATCATAAATGTATTTTAATCTTCCTTTCACATTATGATCCAAAATTGAAACTTATTTTCCTCAGATTGGAGACCTAGCTAGATATTAAATAATATAACCAAGCCAGGGGCCTATTATAGTCCTAGAATAAAGCAACAACACCAAATTAATTACATTAGAGTTTAGACACAATAATTTGGTCTAATATAACATTATTTTCCTAAAACTAGGTCAAAATAAAATAATATTATATCGTAGAACTATAATTGAAACGTTAAAAATAAATGATCATATCAAATTAGAAGAAGAACACTTTATATGTTTCGGTGACTCCTGTAATTTAAAACCCTATAAATTCCTGTTAGTATGAACACGCGCACTTCCACCAACGCTATATTTATATGATAGTAAAAAATATTATCTTTTGAAAAAAAGAATAATGATTTTCACGTAGGTTGTTTAAGGACTTTAATATTTATATTACACTGCCATGAGTTTAATTTGCCCCCCTCATTCATAAAACAAAACTCAAGTTCTGCTTTTCTTAGTGACTTATGATTGTTATTTCATCGTGGTTAATTATTATCATAATTAACCTGTTACTGTATATAATAATTTCTAACCTTTCATTTTCTTTTCTTTTTTAAAAAATAATGAAAAGTATAACGCATAACCTTGTAAAAGAAATTAATGAACTAAAACAATATAATTGATAAAATTTTTTTATCACTTTCCTCTCTAGAATGGATAAAATGTAGTAATTCTTACCGAATATAGTTATATAATGCATTGTAATTAATTTCATTTATTACATGCATTTTTTTTAATAAAAAATACTAAATCGCTAGAAATTCTTTTACAGAATTATTGACAAATAAGTTAATCTGTTTGATGACTTTCATATGAATGTGTGATTTTTCTTATTTTTTCCATCCAACAACTACATACTTAATTTCTAGTTAAATTTTTTATTAAAATTTTAACTAATTTTTCTAGCTAGGCAATTTTATTTAGAAACCATTTATCTCAATTTTTTATTCAGAAAAATGGATTTGGAATAGCTTTTTTTTTTTTTTTTTTGTAAACATTTGGAATAGCTTTTAAGTTCCCATTATACTGACAAGGAAGAAATTGCCATATATACACCAAACACCACTACAAAGCAAAACTAAATCTAAAAACAAGCAATTAATAGGTTTAAATTCAACCAATTCGGTTATAATCCCTCGCTTAAAAACAGGATAGGGTCGCTAGAAACAGAAGAAAACCCTTGGTCCACTTATCTCAGTTCTAATTTAAAATAAGTAGTTAAATAAACAAATGAATGCTTCAGTACAGTTTTAATTATAAACAATGCATAGTGATGAGACAAAAAAAAATAAGTATATGTAAGCAAGTGTTGGGACATAATGACGTCAGTGTCAGCATTAAACCATTACTTAATTTATAGGTGACAAGTTGTTGGTTAAATACTGCTGTTCTGCCAACAGAGTCCCAGGAAGGTTGTATTTAGTAGGTGTAAAGGGTACTCTGAGGTATAATATGGTAATAGTAAGCTTTCTATACAAGTTTTCGGCTTTTGATCACTGCTCTTTCATATAATAAATGGGAATTATGTACTAGATTTGCAGCTCATTTATTTATTAAATTTAATGGGTCCACTCTGAATAAGACAATAAACCCTTTAAAATTACAATAGTTGGTAATCGAACTTATAGGCTTGATGTGTATATATATACATATATAAAACAAATTATTTTAACCCTTTATGTATTTTTATTTATGTAAAAAATGTTTCTGCATTTATTTTCAAAACGACGTCGTTTTGGTATTGAAATCTTAAAAAATTATAAACATAAATACTATTATAATCCTGAAATAAATTAAAATTACAAATATACCATGAATTCTGCCCCAAAACGACGTCGTATTGAGCTTATTGCAGATAACTTATCTACAGTAACTGCAGAAAAAGCGAACCCTTTATTTATATACCCACATAACACAAATCGCAAAATAGCCTTTTCGATCCACGTATAAATAATTTATCCGTTCATTACTTTTTTATTATATACCAAAAGAGTGCATTGTTCTCAAAGAAACCTATATCAGTAAGTATTATTTTAGCAAGGGATAATATATAAAATATATTCTTTCTCAATAATCAAGTCATGTAGCTGGAACTTTTTTAAGAGGAACAGGTGGTCTTGTAATTTGAATTGCCAAATTTGTTTCATATCGTTTTATATACACTACAAATTCATGAGAAAACAAATTGAAGAGAAATTCATAAATCATAACATATATAATTATTTTTAATTATTATTATTATTATTATATATATATATATAATATATATATATATATATATATATATAGGAGTAACATGCTTAGGCTGAACTTGCTAATAGTAAAATATTGGAGCTTACAATTCACGTATATAAGTATGTATATTCATGTTCTTTAATGGATTTGACATATTATCCTATGCTTTGACGGTAATTAATTACTAAAGATTAATTGTGGTGGAGCTCTTATGCTATGCGGAATGCACTAAATGATCAAACCAGAATCGCTGAAACAAAAAGGATAATTATGGTGGAGCTCTTGTGTGCATATGAAAACACTAAAGCCAAGATACAAATGATTGACACTTTGATAAGACAGCTTGGGATTCTGATATAGCTTGCACATGTCAAAAAAGTAATGGTGCCAAATGTGGAGGGATAGCGCACCAAACAGACAATTGTGAAACCTGAATTGTGGGGAGAAGGAAAGAGGAGAATGTGACATGCATGTACATATTATGTTGTGCGAGAGCCTCTAGTTGATTTATTAGCTATGTACAATATGTAATGCAAATAATTCAAAACTATATATGATCTACACATAATAATAATAATATACATTTGGTTAAAAAAAAACAAAAAAACACAGCACAGTTTGTTGTTGTTTAAATTGGTGGAAAAGCCTTAGGGTACAATATAGCGGTGGAAGGGTGGTGGCGTGAAAACTCTGTGTCACGCCGTCCAAACAAAGACCTTTCCATCTATCTGCCACCCCACGCGCAATCAATAGCTTCATCTATAACATGTTTGTATATATATATATATAATTCTTCTGCTTCTTTTCTGCACAACATTCTCTGATCTCTCTAGACGCATATAGTACTTTTGCAAATACTTACATAGCTCTCTCTCTTCTCTTTAAATAAACATTCACCTTCACCTTACTCCAACACATCTCTCTTTCTCTCTCTCTCTGTCTCCTTCTCTTTCAGTTCCTGTTCCAAACTCTCGAGAAGAAGATGACATTAACCCAAATTTCTGTAAGTTTATTATATATTTATATAGTAACGATTTTATTTTATTTTTTTCACAATAGCTTGTCAAGGGAAGTCTAACACCAACTTGAAACCATTTGATAAATCCTTTGATGGGTTTTCTCAAGGGAACTCCAGCTTGTGATGTGTTATCCATGTCTATCTATGTGCCTGAAAATGTTAAAGAGTTATAGCTTGTTTTTCTTTCACATTTGTTAGCTTTCTGAATTAAAATAAAGGTTACCAATAATCCAAGTCTGATATGTTTTGGTTTTTATCAACTTGGATGTATACCTTGATCTTAATAGTGGAAAAAGAGAGTAACATGATTAATTTGAAATTTTTCAAACCATCAATGAAATAGTTTACCTCGTTACCGAGAGAAAAAAATAAAGAAAAGTTTTCAAACTAAGCTATAATATAGCTAGGGTTGGTGGTTGTGTAGGTTTAAGAACACTGGGTAGTGATTGTGTCCTTGGAAAATTCAGAAAATTATCTTTTGCTGGTCAATGAGTGGAGCTTTGTCTAGCATGCTATGCTATGCTATCCATGGTGGTCGTGAATCGTGATCAATTAACGATATTTTTCCATAGTTCAGGTCTTTCTCCACCACCAGCAAGCGTTGGGAGTGCACTGCACTCAAAGAAATGTGACATGCTTGTGACAGCAAAGTCAAGCTTTTCGGCCAACTTTTGTGTTCAATAAACTTTCCCTAAGTTCATGTCATGCAACTATAGGCATAAAAAGAGCTTCTTAGGATTAATAATAGGCCTATCTTGTTAGTTAATTTGTTTTTATTAATGGTGGGTTCCACACATGGTCTGCCAATTTTGTCATTGCACATGCTTCACAATTGTTGGGTCCAATAACAAAGTTATATCACATCATCATCATCATTACTACTATATGTCTCATCCCTAGACATTTTTAGAGCTATAAGGTCGTATACTATTATGACAATTTGATAAAAAGCAAGGCAATGGAAACTTGGGTGTCATTATCTTCCAATGCTGACTTTACTATATATTAGGCCTTGCCCACAGAATTTGAGACTGTTAATTATATATGTTTGATAATTAATTTTTCTCTTGATCTATATAGAAGATAAACTTTTATTTTATGCATATTGAAATTAAACCAAAACATAAATGGTGAAATTGATCGTACATATATAATGACTCCTTTTCATTTTGCTTCTTTCAGGAGGGATCATCAATAGATATGGAATCATGTGTACCTCCAGGATTTAGATTTCATCCAACAGAAGAAGAACTTGTGGGGTATTACCTCAAGAGGAAGATAAACTCACTAAAAATCGATCTAGATGTTATTGTTGAGATCGATCTCTACAGAATAGAACCATGGGATATACAAGGTGTAGTAACTAATCACAATGCAATCTTGATATATATAATAGGTTCTATTGGGGAGAAAATGAGAAAGTAATTATAAAACAAAAGTTAACTTTAGAAATTTGATAAACTTTAGTTGATTAAACTCATATCATATGGTTAAAAGTTTATATGCTTGAAATATGCAGATAAATGCAAGCTAGGATATGAGCAACAGAATGAGTGGTACTTTTTCAGTCATAAAGATAAGAAGTATCCAACAGGGACAAGAACTAACAGAGCAACTGCTGCTGGATTTTGGAAAGCAACAGGAAGAGACAAAGCTGTGACATCCAAAAACAGAATAATAGGGATGAGGAAGACCCTTGTGTTCTATAAGGGACGTGCTCCAAATGGAAGGAAAACAGACTGGATTATGCATGAATATAGGCATCAAACCTCAGAACATGGCCCTCCACAGGCAAGTTTTTTCTTCTTCTTCTTCTTGAATTGTGTAATCAACCATTGTCAATTAAAGTTATCTATGCTACTAACAAACCAAATTAATTAAATATGGTATATAGTTTCAGTAATCTATTATTTACTCTAATATTATCATATGCTTTTCACGTAGTAGTTTCGAAAGTAAAGTAAAAGAGAGAAGGCAAACATGTAATTTTGATAAATGGGATAGTCAAAACTATTCTTATCCACTTCTTCCTGTTAAGCAAAGGCACACACTTTCGAACATACACACTCTCTTTTCCAATTATATTTCCTTTCCAGTAATAATTTGAACCAAATGATTATTAAATTTCTATAAAATTACTTTATTTTTATTTTTTTGGAGAAATTCTATTTAAATGCTTTAGTTTTTCATTTTTTTAATTAATTTTCTGGACTCAAGTACTAGAAAATACATGTATAGTGACGGAATTGCTATGAAAATTCTATCGCTAATTTCATCCTCGCTATTATTTTCCGTCGCAAATTCCCTCGCAAACGATTTTGGGAGGGAATTTGTGACGAAAAGTATTAGTGACGATGAAATTAGAAACAGAATTTTCATAACAATTCCGTCGCTATACAAGTTTTTTCTAGTAATCTCATTTTGAACTATAGTGATAATATATTTTAAAATATGAAGCAATATTTGAATTATAGTCTACAATACTCCCGTTCTACTCATTTTTTCATATATTCTCCTCCAATAAAATTAAACACCAATGCTGATACAGTAACATGTAAAAAAAAAAAAAATATTATGTTGAATACAAGTGTTTGATTGTGAATGACAATAATACATACTACACTAGTATGGAAAAGGCGCTACAATACAACTAATTTAAAACATGTAGTGAAAAGATATCCACTTTCTTAAAAGGTAATTTGACTTTCATAAAGCTCAAGAGGCAAGTGCAAATTACAACACGCTTGTCCTTCTTCATAATATCATGTTCATATTACTGCAGGAAGAAGGATGGGTTGTGTGCCGAGCATTTAGAAAACCTATTCCAAGTCAGAGGCCAGGTTATGAACCATGGTGTAATAGTCAACCACACTATTTCAGAGATCAAAGCTATGCAAATGCAAGACCCTTATCAATTTCAGATATTTTAAATGAAACTCATGAAGTGCTTCATTCTGCTGAAGGTACAAGTTTTAGTAACCCCTTTAGCTTGGAGCAGCAATTTCTATCCAACCAAACTGTTATGGATAAACAACTCATTGAGCTTCCACAACTTGATAGTCCAACAAGTTTGGCAATAAAAGAATGTAGCCAACAACATCATAATGTCCAAGATTGCAGTGATGAAAGGAGCAATAACAATGGACAAGGTATTGATTGGAAAAGCTTGGACAACTTGTTCGCTTCACAATTGACAGATACAAGTTACTTTTCAAATCCAAACTTGCCCATGAACATGATGATACCTCATAGCCATGAACTACAACCTCAAAATCAAGCTAGTCATATCCTAGGATGCTTTCCTGATTCATAACTTGAGTGTCACCATCCATAGCCAAATAATAAAGACTAAGTAAGATAATGGATTCATTATATCATACTTTTCCATTTATCTTACCACAAGCTAATTTAGAAGTTGCTGGAGATCGATCGAATGGAAGCTTAAAGATGCATGGTTTATATAGGAGATAATATTATTATTTTTTTCTTGATAAAGGAGATTCCCTTGAAAGAGTGAACCTCTGATCCTTTGTTTAGAGTTCAAAAGAGAATTTTTTTTTTTTGTTGTTGCTAAGTTTAACTTTTTACTGTCCTTGGCTATGTCACTTTTAAATGTACATTCTCTTAATTGCATGCATATTGCATAGTGTGGCTTTTCTTTGGTTTAAGCTATTTTACGTCGTCATCTGTATTTTGTGAGAGCGTTAGTGTGTTATTCATCAATACAAACCTACACATATGAGAGGAGGGAGTTTCGAGCTTATCAACATCTTCATTTTTTCTCTTATCCTCAATATGTTCAGAAGAAAAAGAAAGACAGAAGTGGTTATTATCAAATTATCACCTCAACGACATAATTCTATAATTTTTAAAATGTGAAATTATGAATTTTTTGTTTGTAAAAACATATTGATAATACGATCCGTATATATAATCCTAGTCTTATGGGTTTTTTTTTTGTTGGTAAACCTAGTCTTATGGTTTTTATTAACCCTTTGCTTGGTTTTTACTGTGTTAAATTAGGTAATAAATGTAGGTTTCATTTTTTTTTTAAATTTATTTAAATTTTGTCATTAAGTGGGTAAATGAGTTGGCCTTAGCTAGGTGTCATAAATAAATCTAACATATATGAACTATTTTGTATACATTGTAGATTAAATTATAGATATGACTTAGGTCTATTAGCATCCTTAAGTCTATTAAGTCTTTAAGCGAATTAGAAGAAAAAAAATTAAAATATTATTATTTTATTATTTAAATTATTTAGATAATTATTCATTGCAAATTAAAATTTAATAACTTACCACTACGGACTAGGTCAACATGAAGTGGTGATATGGTTGGGGTACCCAGGCTTACAGTGCTCGTGTCCGCGTCAAAATTTTCGTCCACGTCTCTGACGAATAACCTTGTGGAATAGCACTTTCAGGTTCTCCCTCATCTTCGCTGTCGACATACTCCTCCTGTTCATCCTCATCCAATGTTATCTGACTTAACATCTGAGCAGGTGCAGATGAATGTACAACTATATCTTCTTGAACAGTACAATGTGCAGTGGTTGCATGCGCCGGTAAAGATGAAGATTGACCAGCATCAACTTCAACATATAGCTCAATCAATTTTAATACTTTCCAGCCAACAAACGCATCTGTTACAAACTCCACATCTTCATCATCATTGATATTGTTACCGATGTAGTAGATTGTATCCATATCCACTACAGTCTCTAACCTGGCTATCATGTAGTGAATGGATTGGATGCCTTCTAACCCCAATTTTTGATGAATTCTCTCCTTCAGTTCATTGCATGTAGTGCCTACTTTGATTTTCATCATTTTTGTTTTTTCTTCAAATCGGATACCATTCAGACCTTCAAAATGCCTCCCATTGTAGCAAATAACTATAGGAAACATGTTTGGACTTGAACTCATATTTCACACGAAAATTGGGTCTAGGATTTGGGTTTGGGTTTTGATTCAGATTTTTGAGAAAAGATGGGAATATGGAGGTGCAATGGCAATGTCCTCCCAAGATTAGGTTTTTTTAGATGATGGGATGAAATAGGAGTATGATGATTCAGAATAGAGATGTCAAGGGAGAGAGATTTGGGGGAAAAAACTTATAACTCGTAACAATGGTCGAAACCCATTGAAATAGCATTTTCTGGCCGACAAATACCCAAGTATCCCTCTCCCTACCCGGGTAAATAACTGCATACCCGGGTATCCCCTTCCTTACACGAGTAAATATTCAACATGTGTAAGAACAAATTTATCTCGCGAAATATACCCGGGTATGGAGGGGTATACCTAAGTATTTTAATAATCAAAGGTAAAACAGGGACAGATTAGTGTTATGTTTGTTGAAAAAGTTAAATTTTTATAATAATTTATAAGTAAGGTCAATTTGATAATTAATTATTAAATAAAAACTACGGTGGTCAAAAAATCCATAGACCCTCATGTTGTATAACTTATTTAAATCTCTAATTACCATAATTGCTATATTGACTAAGTCAATCCATTAATTCCCAAATGTCGAGGGCGAGGACAACATTCTTTGGCCTACCCCACTCCCATGGATTAGCTACCTGTTGTGCGAGAAAGAAAGGGACCGAAATGCATTGGCATTGACTTGAGCACGGTCAATCATACATCAATCACCAATATAAGTTTTCAAAATGCCTTTTATTAAGTGTGAATTGTGAACAATCTGAATCGTTAAATAAAAAGTGTATGTGGGATCCAATTATAAATGGCCTCAAAAATGTGCATGAATAAACAGGATCAAGTATTACTACTAGCTATTATAAGAGTAGCTTAGGAAATTCTGAGAAAGCTTGTCAAAAGGGCCAAAATAAAATAAAATTGGACAGTGTTTCGTTCAGTAGGAACAGTGTCAATGTGCTGAACAATGAACATAGTTAATGGACCTGAACCAATCTTTGACATCATTCTCATACTTTAATTTTAAAAATTGAGATCTGTTCCAATTTTAAGGATTAATATTTTTCATATTATAAGAGATAATTTTTATCTTTTATATATATATATAAATACATGAGATTTATATTTTTTTCTCTCTTTTCTCTTTGTATGATCACATGAGTTTCATATATTTTATGTGTATATAAGAGATAAAATTTTTTTCATATAATATGAAAAATATTAAACCCCCAATTTTATTGACTTTATTTTTTCCCACTCTCCTTTTTTATTTTTCTTTGTTTAGTACGAACTCACTTAAATTATCTCTGGTATAAAATAATCAGTTATCTTATAAACACGCAACAATGGTTTTCTTCTATATGTGCTTGGCAACATCATGATCTGATAAATGTTGGCTGATTCGGGTTAAATTACACAAGAAAATCACATCTCGTTAATGATAACAGCATATTAAAATATTTCTATCATTTTATTTTTTATAATAAAATAAGAAAAATATATATATTTCAATACTGCGCTCTACTTTAATTTTTTCAAATAATTATTAAAGTATAAAAAATGGTACAAGAATTTCAATATATAAATGGGAATTACTTTTCTTATGTTACATAAAAAAAATTATTATCTCCTACATTCACATTTTTCAAATGGGTCCCACAAGATTTTTTTTCTCTCACCTTCAACTTTTTTCTCTCTCCTAACTATTGTTTGAGCATGAGATAATACTAATGTTGGTAGAACAGTAGAAGTAGATTTAACGAAGTGTACATTGTTGATATAAATATCATTTTTAAATTACACCTTCTAACTAATTATCGTGTTTCACTTTTATCCTTAAGTTTTAATAGTTTTGCTTTTGTTCCTGACCTTATGAAATCCTATTTCTCGAGCTGAATTTCATCAATCAACAGACATAATTTGCATACATTGTCGTGTAATAGGACAAGCTTTTACTCATAGCACGTAACAAGGCAAATCATACTACATTTGATATTGTTAGATAAATATTTACTTATTCTAAAAAAATTACAGATGAGTTAGACTTGATCTGGATCCATATTAATCTAATAATATGTTTTTATACAAGTTAATTAGGTGAAAATATTGTTCTTTGGATTCATATGGATTGAAGCTCAATAACTTGTATTATCTCTAGATTTCTCCCTAAGTTAGAGGTAACACTATTGAATATTACAAATTTTATATATCTTGGTGTAATACTTCAAGCAATTGTAAATCGTTTTCTCTTAAACCCATAACCTCCAACATTAAGCGGGATGGAAAGTTTAATCCAATAAACAATCTAAGATGCCCAATAATAGAGACTTAAGGAGTAAGCAAACACGTTTATTTTGCATACATGTCATCCCGTAGACACACAGTTGGAGAGTTCTTAGGACTCCTCAACAGCCAATTACTGAAGTACAAGAAAAGGATGCAACTGACCTACATGTTGTAGCCCACTAGTAAGAATCCCACATATGGGATATACTGCAGAAGTCATCTTAATCTCTAAGGGATTGACTGTTGTCATACTTAGACAGCACAAACAAGTCATGTCTTTGTTATATAAAGAAGGCTTAAAGCCTAAGATATGATGATTTTCTTTATTATTACTTAAGTTTATTAATCAAGCACTGACCTGAGTGTCGGAATACGGTAGAGGTACCTCTCATCATCTGTCTTAGCCAAGCAAAAATTCTCAACACCAACACAACCATTCCACATAGCCTTCCCGCCCCACTGCTCCACACCTGTTGTAACATCACTACAAAAACCACTTGGACTATACTCAACCATGTATGGCCAAACTCAACATTTTATGGACTGGTCAAGATTTAATATTTATGTGTCAAGTGTTATGATCATATAATTTTGAATACACAATCATTTCTCTCTGTATTAGTGGCTATGCCATATTTTGTTTTCTTGGTCAAGTTTGATGTGCAATGTTATAAGTACTTGTTTTCTAGGAATGAACTAACCGAATAATATTTTTGTGCTGTCAGACCAAACAAAAACATGTCTCCAAAATCTGGGCCAACGCCGAAAGCAATACTGGGCCAAATGGGCCGCCCAATATCTCAAGATGAAATTCATAACCTTTGCGATCATTTAAACAAAATTAAAGACTTTGCGGTATCTTTCTAAACTTTGCAGCAATATTGCTATAAACGGTCTTTTAAAATAAGTTTAAGGGATACGACGTCGTTGTTTAGGGACGAAAATCATAGTATTTTGTTATCAAAAAAAAAAAAAAAAAATCATAGTATTTTTATAACTTTAATTTATTTCAGGGTTATAATAGTCTTTATATTTATAATTTTTTAAGATTTCAATATAAAAACGACGTCGTTTTGAAAATAAATGCAGATAACTTATCTGTATTAATACTGCAGAAATATGTTTCCCTAAGTTTAAATGCAAAAAAAAAATTCTCATGTTTCTGCAAAATTATTATGTCATGTCACTCAATTTATTTTCCATGCCAAGTTTTTTTTTTTTTAAGGGTGGAATCCATCTAAACTATGTGTTTGTTGGAAGGATTACTCTTCTCTTACAATGAGAAGTGTAACCCCCAAATTTAAATGTAAAGAATATGAATAAGATTGTGTTTATTTTTTGTTGAATGTTAAGTAAATGCTCCCTAAAATTTAAAAGTAGATGAATCTATAAATATACATTTTAAAAACAAATTTATTTAATTTTATTTGTAATCCATTAAATATTGCAAATATCTAAACTATGCAGTTTGTATGACATAGTGTTTAGGGAATATCCGCATGGATACTAGGGATACTGATCCAAATTTGGGAATATGCGCTTTTTCTTTCAAATTAGGTGAGCGCAAATTTTTAAGTAAGAGGGCATTGGTTATAATAATATACTGTTAATTTGGGGTGTTTAGTAGCAGGAATATTTTTAGATACATGGCTAAGTGAAAGTGGATTTTTTTATAAAAAAAATTCCGGAGAAAGTTATTTTTTTATGATTTGATTTTGTATGTATTTTCTGAATCAAAATATCATTAAAAATATAATATATTTTAGGAATATCAGACAATAAAAAAATATGAATTAGTTTTTCAGACAAAAACAATTAAACATAATATCAGAAAAATTAATTCAATAAAAATAAATTCAAAAGTCCAAATATTTTTTGTTAACATTCCTAAAAACTCACCTTCCAATCATATTTCAAATCCTAATTCTAGGATAAAAAATAAATTTTTAATTATCCTATATAGTTTATGATAATGTATAAAAAATAAGGAAAAATATTTTCTTATTAGAAAGCATTTTTTACGTCACTTATATATCGATATGTGTGCATTGGTTTTTTATTTTTATTTTAATTTATTAATGGTGGGACCTACCTTAAACATGTGTGTAGGAGAATTCCTTTCCTCAAGTTAAAGGAGAAAAACAAAGCCCAAAAAATAAATTTATGAAATAAAAGTAATCCTAAAAAATGTTGCATAAAAAAGAAAAAAAATCACAATCTTCTTTGTACGTTCTTCAAAGTCCAAAAGCTCCTTCCTCTCTCTCTCTCTCTCTCTCTCTCTCTCTCTCTCACAAAATGCATTGCAGCTGAATTTCGCAGAAGGATCCACCATTCCTATCTTTCTCTCTCTTCCTCCCCCAAAATCTTAGGGTTTTCATCATATCAAACAACAAGAGCTTAGCATATTCAGAATCTTCAATTCTCCTAACTCTTGTTGAACATTTTGATTCAAATAATTAATTCCACACTGATCCACCAGCTTACATGTTATCACCGTGATTCCATCCACCGTGCCGACGATGGCGGCGCCGAGGAATGCGACGGTGTTTAAGGATGAAGAGAGCGGGGAGGTGCCGGACGAGGATTCGCCCACCGCCAAGAAGCCCAAATCGGAGAGGTTCCCGCTCAATACCTGGGAATTCGCCGCCGCCGTTGCCGTCTTCTTCGTCTTCTCCATCGGCCTCTTCTGCATTTACCTCACCATACCCGCCGCCGAGTACGCCAACCTCAAGCTGCCACGCACCCTCTCGGATCTTCGCCTTCTCAAGTACTTTCCTTTCTTACCTATTAGGTTTTAATGATTATATGATTCTTTTGTTCCTGAAATTTTTATTTTTATTTTAAAATATGAAACACTTTCAGTTCTTTGAGAGAATTTGAGTTCCAATGTATTGGTTGATAGTTAAAATCTATGTGTGGTAGTTACGGTGTTTTTTTGTTGAATTCCTGCAGAGATCATTTTTCAAGATATGCAAGCAATCATCCTGCACAGTTCATTCTTGGATACTGCTCCACATATATCTTCATGCAGACTTTTATGATTCCAGGAACAATCTTCTTGTCCTTGTTAGCTGGGGCACTTTTTGGAGTTTTTCGAGGAATCCTATTGGTTGTTTTCAATGCCACTGCTGGAGCATCGTCATGCTTCTTTTTGTCTAAGTTAATTGGAAGGCCTATAGTCTCTTGGTTGTGGCCAGAAAAGTTAAGGTTTTTCCAAGGAGAGGTTAGTTTTTTATTTTTAATGTTTATTTGGAAATTATCTAGTTTGAAATATTATGATATCTCAACTATGTTAAGTGTTAACCTGATTTTTTATTTTTTATTTATTTGGTTAAATCAGATAGCAAAGCGTAGGGATAAGCTGCTGAATTACATGCTTTTTCTGAGGGTAACCCCGACATTGCCAAATCTTTTCATCAATTTGGCATCTCCAATTGTTGATGTACCGTTTCATATATTCTTTTTGGCAACATTGGTCGGTCTTACTCCAGCCTCTTATATTACTGTCAGAGTAAGCTTCTGTGTCTATCTTACTGTTATTTTACAATATGCTCGTTTTTTCACATTTTCTCTGAACTTGATATATTGCTAATCCAAGTGTTTATATTATTATATGCCTTTATTATTTGTTTTTTCACTTCATTTTATTTAGTAACTTATAGTTGCCTATTGGCTTCTACATTTCGAACTTTTAGCTTATGAAGTAAAAGATGAGCGTCTTCTTCTTACTTGAAGAAGAAACGTAGAAGAAAAGAGGGAAGAAGAGTCTTTATGAATGTTTCTTACAACATTTATTGGATGATCATCAGCTTAAGTTGAACAACATTGATCCACAAATGACCTAGAAATTAAGATATTTTCCTATTTCTCAAGCTTTGCAAATGTTGTCTAATGGGTTTGTTTCTAATGCTCAGGAACTCAGTGACTTGATCTGTTTATATGGGAATATACTTTTTCATCTTTCTAAAGGAAACAGTTACACTTGTATTGAAGTAATTTCTGTTCAAGTATGGAAATATTTGAGAAGACAGAGATGATGCATTTATGTTTACTTATCTGAGCAAGTAGAGTAAAACAAAATTAATTGTGAACTGTAAATGTCATAGAATCTGAAAGAGAATATTGGGTTGTCTTCCTTGGTTTCAAGACCTTTAGCAAATAATTTTCAGGAAATTGTTGCCTTGTTGATCTTCAAGGGAATTGATGATTTGAAAGATTATGCTGGTAAAATTTACACTGAAAATGGAAAAAAGCATAGATTAGGTTGTATGAATGTGTTAGGGAAGGCATTGTTCTAGTGATCATGAAGAAGTATAGTACCAAGTTGGCTGAGGATTCCTCCAGTACAGATTGCAGAGTTTCCTATGAGTACTCTTCTATCAGAGAACTGCATCCAAACCCTTTTTTGAAATCTATTTAGAATGTGTTTCATGCTTCCCTTTGTTTTCAGTGATTTAGCTGGACTGGATAATTTAAGTGGTTAGAATGGTCCCATTGTGTTATACGGTTCTTAATTTTTTTCAGCTAATAAATAAAAAAAGTTTTATTCCTCATATGCATTTTGTTTCTCTGATCATTTAAGCTGAACTGATGTTCATCATATTTTAGTATGGTTTTCTCTCTTTTCCTATTGTCATGAGTCAACTCTCTCAAAAGTTTAAAGAAACTTGTATGTCATATTTTAATTTTAATCACCGTGGATTTTCATGTCTTATAATTCCAAACTCATGGATGAAGAGGCTAAGTATCTTCTATTCTGGTTTGTCCAAACTTTTATAGTAGCTTTTATTCTGCATTTTTATATTATACTCCTAACGTCTTCATTGTTGTTTAACCAGGCTGGCCTTGCTCTTGGGGATCTGAAGTCCCTTAAGGATCTATATGATTTTAAGACATTATCAGTGCTTTTCCTCATTGGTTTTATTTCCATATTGCCGACACTTTTGAAGAGGAAGCGAGTATACGAGTGAAGTTGTGCTGGCACAGCTTGCTTAATCCATGTCAAAGTTATGTGATCATTTAGATTGTTAAGAAAGTGGATAATAATTAACCACTATATCGACGAGAAAGGGTGTACGTGTATTATTATTAATTAAAACAGTGGCTTATGCTCCAATTTATTTTATGTGGTGGAGTTTTTTTTTTTTTCATTTTGACCGTGTGGAGAGAGTGAGGGTAGACATAGCTGAGCGGTTATCAACCAATTCAGCTATGGTCACAAGGCTTTGGTGGAGCACTGAATTTACTCATAATGTAGCCTTGATGGCATCAGGAAGGACGTAGTGAATTTTTAGGAATGCTGTATGGATACACGCCTTGGTTTACACAGTATAGTAACTGAATTTTACTATGTACTATTATTTGTTTATCCAACAAAAGATATAATAGTAGAGAATTTGAATCTTTACTCTTCCTGTCATTATCATTTGTTTCAACTTTGATATTGTCCAACTTCTTAACTTACACTCCAGCATTTACCGATTCATAATCACGAGGGACAGCGGGGATTGGGGTTGTGTTGGACATAACTATTGGTAAATCATATATTTGTACTGTGAAACACGCACACGCTTTTTTTTGAGAAATTTGTGTGTTGGACACGTGTCTGACACGGACTCGGACACGCGTTTGACACGTAGTCAACATTTGGAGACACGCGGTCAACTCTAATACGTTCTTACACATTTTTTTTGACATGCAGCCAATTTTTTCGGACATGCTTAGACACGTTTTTTTTTTTTAAAAAAAATTATTTTATTTTGTTAACTAAATATAAAAGAAATAATTTATAAATTAATGTTTTTCTGTTATGAAATTAAACATAAAAATTTAACAAATTACGAAAAATTATTTATATTTATATTTATGTTATGAAATTTAAATATTTGATTGGTTATATGACTTATTATGGACTCTTATATGTATTAAATATAAATTATATTATATATATTAAATTTTTTATTTAATATCAAAACGTGTTCCAACGTGTCGAAATATGACATTTTTTAAAATTAACGTATCGGCGTGTCGTGTACCGTGTCTGTGCATCATTGTATTAGTAGCAAATTCCGATGCTCCGAACAAGTAGACATATACATGCTTCATATGCACCTAGGTGGAAATGAACTATTATTAGTAATATTTCAGCAAATATAGCAATCTTCCCTTGAATTGGCGTTCAGAGTTTCTTACCATTGCCTGCATTACACGTATGCATGTCGAATTTATCACAATTGGTTCTATGTAAATTACGTTAATTAAGCACTTTAGATGTAGGAAAAAAATTCTTGTGTTGAGATAAATCATTAATATAGTTATGAAGGGTGGTAGATCGAGGTGCTGTCTGCCGCCTACTCTGCTTCCTTTTCTTTTCTTTTCTCGTTCTCTTTTGGGAATATCTACATTAAACTTGCTTCTTGCTAAACCAGAATTTTGTAAGGCTTAAAATTTTGAAAATCAAATTGGTTCAAGCAATTCTTTCTATGAAGGGATAGAGAACCGAAAATGTAACTCCAAGCTGACAAGCTCTTTAGGTAGTGTTTGGTTCGGGAGAAATTTTTTTTTACTAAGAAAATGTAATTAATAGAAAAATAGTTGAAAAATGAGTTTGATAGGAAAATGTAAAAAAAGTTGTTTGGTTAACCCAAATATTACCAGGGAAATTTATTTAAATATGCAAAATCTATGTTTGGAAGAAACTTTGCACCTGTTTTCTCACTTCCCCAGTTATCTCAAAATACCACATCTCAAGTGGTATTTTGTAAGAGTAAATTTCATCTAAAAATCAACACAAAAGTCATTTTCCCATCTATCCTATTTGCCTTGTATTTTTTGAAAAAACCTGAACCAAACGTGGTATCTTCTAATATCCACTTACACTTTCCCATCAATCCCAAAATAAACCTTCAACCAAACACTACCTTATTGGAGTTAAAATTGTCATGTGAAAATTAGAGACAGGAGATTACAATATGTCATACATTAACTCGATACAAATTTAAACGATTCCATTTCTAATTAAAGCAAAACTAATCATGGCAAAATGATTGTTTATAATTAAAGATGAAAGAAGATACACCATTGGCACAGTGCACGAGATGTTCATTGTTTGATATCGTCCATAGTAACTTTTGGGTAGTTCTCGTAGCCCATAATGCTATTTATCCGTATGCGAGTATGTGGCTGTTACAAGTTGAAAACCAAATCAAAAAATACAACGACAAGCAATTGCAACACTAAGGACAAAAAATCATGATTAGTAAATTATTCAAGAAAATAAGCTAAAAACTAAACACAAATCTCTATCAGGTTTTATTTGGTGTGATATTGCTTGAAATTTTATATCAAATTCGAATAAATCATTGAATGACTACATTTGCATAGCATTAATTGCATGGTAATATCTTGCACCACTCAGTATAATAGCTAGATGTGATTACAGCCACCTTAAAAAGCATAGGTGAAGTGATTTATGACTGCCATGGAATGGGATTACAGGTTCTCAACCAAAGATGCTTCCAAGGACAAGAAAGAAAAATGAAGATAACCAAATTTCTCTTTATTTCTATTTTGAAAAGAAAACTATGAATTACAGCCAAATGGAATTTATAATATAGATTGGCCTTTCTTAATTCTTTCATGGTGAAGCAAAATCAGTGTTAACAAAACAGGAGAGAGTAACATCTGCATGAGAAACAGAAGCTCGACAGATGCATTGAGCATAAAGACAAAAAGCAATGCTGGGATTTATTGTTTTCATCCCTGCTTGAGTTTAACTTTACTAAGAATAACTAGAAAAAAGAAAGGAAAATTCAAAACCAAAGATAGTAATTGAATTTAAACAATTTTCATGTATGCACTACAGCTTATTGTAATGACTTTTTTTTTTACTAAGTAACACATTTATCCATAGGCACACACTCATACACGCAAAACGGATTCACATACTTTCAAGCTCCTTTCAGAAATTAGAAGGTACGAGAATTTGCCCCCATGAATAAATTCCCAACCACTCCCAAAACAACGTAAAGTGACATTTTAATTGTTGCAATTATTTTTTGATAAATAATTAGATTGCATAAGTAAAAGCAAACAACTGTAGTACCTGTTTGTGCCCAAGAGTTCTGCGGTAGTGACTCTTTCTTTTATATTTGAAGACAATTATTTTGGGGTCAAAACCCTGCATTACAAACAAAATGGCTCAGGTAGATTTTTATTTTTAATGTCCTATCAGGCGAAGAGAAACAGAGAGAAAGAAATGTACATGTTCTTCCACCGTTGCATATACCACAGCATTTGTTACTACTGGTTTACCAATGTAAGTAGTTGTATCAGTACCAACCAGCAAAACCTTATGTAGAGCAATCTGCAGTTCGAGCTAAAATTAAACTAACAAAAAAATAAAAAAACTTAAAAATTACGGCAAATATTTCAATAATATTTTCACTTTAGCAGGCGTCACCACTATCCACTCATATAAAATTTCATTTCCACAGCTTTTGACCAAATTTCTTAAAAAATACTTTAGTGTTTGTCCCCTTTAAACTATAGATCCTAAGTGATAGTTCAGATAAAGGATAAACCCCGATTCGGCTCCCTGACTTGGGAGGATAGAGGTGAGGGTCAATTATACGCAGCCTTACCCTTGCATATATGTAAAGAGACTGTTTTCCATACTCAGAGCGATAACCTTCCGGTCATCTGGAACAACCTTACCGCTATTCCAAGGCTCGCCCTCAATACTAAGTACAGATGGCATAGTATAATTCATCTGTTCATGTACTTACATAAACACCATACTAGTACTCTAGCTGCTCATCACATTTAAATGAATGTTTAGGGAGAAAGTGGTGGTAGTAAGTTGGTGATGGTCACAATCAAATACAGAGACAGATATTGAATGAGTTTAACGAGTGATGCATAACTATTAGACTTATATTTATATATAAATTTAGTTTACTTCTCTATTTTTTTATTTTTCTCTTTGTTTCTTTCACATAATGTAATGCAAACAAGATATGTATATACCTTATCGTTAACCTTAGCACCTTTCAGCTTCTGAATATTAATCCAGCGCCCCGGGTGAACAATATACTGGTGTGAGCCAATCTAAACAAAGCAACAACAAAAAATTCAAAAGCGCAAGAAAGGAAGACAAAATTGGCACAAACCCCAGAATAAAAAAAAGCACCTATTTATCCATCATCCAACAAACTGGAAGTGGAATATGTAACCTAACAACATAAACAACAGTTATAATCACCTAAACTAGCTATTTTAGCACAAAAAAAATATAAAAAATATTTAAAATGATTTGAGTGGCCACAAATTTGCAAGTACATGTGCAATCAGACAATCACTAATAAAAACTCATCTGGGTCACACTTAAAACCATCTTAACCAAGGAATTACTCAAACCATGCTACTTTACAATAGCACAAACAACAGTTAAAGATCATTGGGTCAACATAAAAAATAGATGAAACCATATGGGTAGCCACAAATCTGCAAATAACACGAGCAATCATCAAGAAAACTCATCGTTTAAATCATCTAGACTAACCATTTTACTCAAAGCTTGCAACTTTACAACAATTCAAACAACTGGGTCACCCAATCCATACCCAAAACTGGAAAAAGCTACTCACCATTACCACAGCGAAGAGTCCCGGCTCCCATGACGGAGCCTGAACCGGTGAGGCTTGAACAATTTGGGTCGGTTCAATCTTAGGTGCATCGGGTTCAGGCGATGGTTCAGCTTCAGCTTCAGCTTCGGCCACTGCAAATTCAGAGGACTTAGGGAGTGGAAGGAGAGGTAAGCGGGGTGAGAAAGAGAGGTTGTTGTTGTTGTAAGAGTGAGAAGGAAAGCGAGAGAAGAAAGAGAGATTGGAAGATTGAGTTTTGGGGTTAATATTGGAAATGGTGCATTGGGTTACAAAACAAGTGCATATTGCTGGAAGAGTTGAAGTTGCAGAGGCCATTTTTGAGAGACCCCTCTCTATCTCACACTCTCACCCCTATCCTTTCTGTATATCTATCCATTTTCTCTTATTACAACGGCTTTTGCTTTTTATTTTATTTTTGAGTTTGATAAGAGTTACGAGTAGTAGGAAAAGTGGCTGTGTAATGTTATAGAGATTGTTTTGCATGCCGTAGTTTTTCTTTTCTTTTTTCTTCAAAAAATGTGGGCTCCACAAAATATTTTTGTGTAGAAAACTTTGTTGTGTCATGTTAAATAATAAATGCAAACTCTTTTATTTTTGCACCTTTTACAATTTACCCGTTTTGTGTTGTTTACTATTTTATTTTCTTGGGTTAAGGCCTTAAGGGATCTTATTATCTCCATGAAAATTCGAAAAAATAAGTATGAATAAGAATTAATATTCAAAGGTAGAGATAAAATAAAATAAAAATATAATGATTAAAACAAAAAAATTATAAAAACTAAAATCTTAAAAGGATTAAAGTTTATTTTTGTTTTTAATTTGAAGTAATGATATTTGTATTGACTTTATCTACATAAACTATTCACGTAGTGGTAGTCAACTTATGTAAACCTTTAAAAAAAAGTTGAACCAAGGGGTGTTTGGTACGCGGGATTCTTTGGAATTTCTGGCAAACTGAATTTTTCTAAATTTTTAATTTTTGGATATTATCATAAACTGCGTGCAAAAATTATATTTTTAAAAATCGAGATTCTCGAACAAATAAAAATTTCTCATATACCAAACGTCCCCTAAAACCATTGTGTGGAGTCTCTCAAGTGTTTGCAAAAACAAAACCTACCAGGCATTATTACTTTTTGTATTCAGAGATATTTAATAATGAAGTGAAATGGTACGGTAATATAATAAAGCGTGTGATTATAATTTTTTTGAGAAAGATTATAATTATAAATTTTTTGTTTATAGATTACATTATATATTAGCGGCTATATTGTATATAGAAATATACTACCCCTATTATATAATATAATTTATAAAAAAAAATTGTAAATATAATTTTTTCAGTGATATAATTGTTGTGACTTAGAGGTGGCAATATAGGTTGAGCTCGGCGGGTCAATCCGCCAACCCGTCAAAACGGGACGGGTTGGGTTGAGGTTTTCAACTCACCAACCCACCTCAGCCCGCCCCGCCTAGAAGTGGGTCAAAACGGGTTCACCCAGTCGGGATATAAATTTTTTTTTTTTTTTTACAATTAAGTAGTATTTCATTAGTCCTTAAATTTTTGTAATATCCAATATTTTTTTTATCTTAGTACTTCTTAGAAAAATAAAGAATAACAATTTTATTTATGACAAATGTTATTTATATATAAATTCCTAAAGAATGTTTGACAAATATTAATATACATTTAAGATTGAGACTAAAATAATATAGAGAAGTGTGAAATAAAATAAAATAATATTAAAAAAATTCATAAAATATAATTTATTTTTGAATTTTAATTAATTTTTTTTAATTGGCGGGTACGTGGTTGACCCGCCAACCCACCATAAAACGGGATGGGTTCATTTTTCCAACCCATATTTTTTGGCGGGTCGAGACGAGTCACCCAAATTGCCACCCCTATTGTGACTTAATGCTTATTGTTATATATATTTTTCAAGGTACATGCTTGACCCCACCCCCACCAACCTATGAAATTGTCTCAAAATAGTTTACACAAGATTCCAAGCAGGGGTGTGCAAAAAAAAGATTCACTTGTCCTGCTCTTGATCTGACCTTGACCTGACCGATAAAAACCTATTTTTTCTGAACTGATTTAAATAGTGACCCACTTTTATTTGGGTCAGTTTTAGACCTGACTTGTTTTAATAATGACTCATTGACCCAAAACTTGATCCATACCCATTATGTGAAAAAAAAAATCACAATTACATTAAAAGAAAATTTTTAACGTGAAACAATTACGTCAAAACTTTTTATAGAAAATATTTCCATCAAAAATTTCGACGAAACACATTTCCATCGAAATTTTTTGACGAAAAAAATTTAATTAAAATCTTTTACATAATTCAAATTTCGGCGAAAGTTTTCGACGGAAACATTTTCGTTAAACTTTTTGACAAAAATAATTTTATCGAATTTTTTAGCGAAACATATTTTTATCGAAAATTTACGACTAAATATTTTCGTCAAGTTTTTTGATAAAAAATATTTCCATCAAAATTTTCAACGGAACACATTACTCTCAAAAAATTTCGTAAAAATTTTCGACAAAATATATTTCGATAAAAAATTTTGACGGAAAAAATATTCTGTCAAAATTCTTTAGAGAATCTAAATTTTGTCGAAAGTTTCGAATGAAACATTTCCCTCAAAACAATTTTCGTCGAAATTTTCGTCAGAACACATTCCCATCGAAATTTTGAACGAAAAACATTCTGTCAAAATTTTAGACGGAATTCTTTTTTCGTTTAAATTGATGAAGGAAATCATTTTCGTCAAAACTTTTGACGAAAACTAAATTTCGATAGAAAATTTAATTTTGAAAAAAATTTCATTAGAGAAAAAATTTCGTCGCTTTTCGACAAAAAGTATTTTGACGAAAAAATAATTTTTTGACAAAATTTTCGTCGTTTGCAACGTAGAAATTTTGACGAAATTTTTTGACGAAACCAAGTCAAAAACGGATCAGGTCAGATTTGACCCACTTCAGAAATCAAGTCAGGTCAGATCCGACCCGGTTCTGAACCAGTTCAAAAAAATTCAAACCAAGTCAGATCTAACTTGGATCAAATTAAAGCGAGTCGGGTCAAAATACCTAACCTATAAAAATCAATTTAGGTCGAGTCGGCACAAAAACCTGACCCGACCTGACCAGCCCTAATTCCAAGAACCGGTTCATCGATTTTCAGACCCGTTTATCATCGACTAGTAATCCAGTTCCCAATTGAACCGATTGGACTAGATGATCCGGTTAGATCTTAATAACACCAACTTCACGGGATGTTTCTAATGAAAGTAAACAGAGTAAACCATTGCTTAAGAAAGTAAACAAAGTTCTAATACAAAAGTAAACAAATCATAATCATGTAGCTATGTAAATTTGACTACGTTTTTTCTTCTATCATCATGCTTCCTAACTGTACAAAAGATTTCAGTTAGCATATCAAGAAGAGTCCTTGACTCCAAATGCATCTGCTATATTGAAGTTCAAATTGCCTTTCATGGTTCTGCTCCTACCAACATGTGCATCACCCTTTTTCATCATTGCTGCAAACTCCCCATAATCAATTCTCCCATCCTGATAAAAAAAGGTTACAAAAATTAGGACCAAAATATATTATAATCCTCACATTATAAGAACAAAAATGTAAATTGACAAAAGAAGAGACTAATGTCAATAAGAGACCACTGTCAACTTCATAGGGAAAACAAAAAATGGAATCAACAATGAAGGTAGTTAGTCAAATTAAACAGAGTGAAAACAATCACATGAGCATGGGGACTATTCAAACACATTTAGAGGAACTTACATTGTCTTGATCAATCTCTTTGATCGTTTCATCTAGATGTACTTCCCCTAGGCCAAAGTCTTTACAAGCCTGTTGAAGCTCATCAATGGTGATGTAACCACTACCATCTTTATCGAAATAGGCAAAAGCTGCAACCAAATTCTCCTCTCTTTCCATCTTATTCAAGTGCAGTGTGGCAGCAAGAAATTCACCATAGTCTATTGTTCCACTGTTGTCTATATCAGCCTGCCAAAGTTCACGAGGGAAGACAATGATCACCCCAACTCAACATACACAAAAAGAAGCAAAAATGATATGAACTTATTTGAAATAACATTAAAACAATTTCCTTTATGTTAAATTCTATGATAATGATAATCTACCTACCGCTTCCATAAGGGATTTGATTTCAGATTCCATGAGATTAGAGCCCACACTTTTCAAACCATCCTTTAGTTCCTCAAATGTTATTGTCCCACTGTTGTCTGCGTCAATCATTTTAAATAACTCTTTTAACCCACCTATTTCTTCCTCTGAAAGTCTTTCTGCTATGACCTGAAAAGATTTTTTAAATGTAAAATATGAGTGCATGATTTAGATGTAACGCTAGATTGTATAAGAAATGGATAGAGCATGCAAATCACATAAAATCAATATGGATTGAGATGCTGATACAAAAAGACATCATCATTTACTGGAACAAACAGAAATCTTACTGAAGTTAAAGATATCCATATAATTCAGAAAGCTCAAATATAAGAGATAAATGGATTCATAGATACTGGAAATGTAAGGAAATACTATTTTGCACACATTAGCAAATAGGCCTTCGCGTGTTTTATACTACGAGGCAGCTTTTTTTTAATACAAATTAAATTACACTTCAGTCTTACTAGGAATCTAAAACAATGCATTCTACTTCTTCCAGTATTTTTTAATTAAGGACCATAAAAAGGCTCCACACAGCTTTTAAGTCATGAATAAGTTATGAGCTTATCTCATTCAATAGGATGGTAATATAAAGTTTAGACAAAATTAATATCATTATAGGAATCAAACAGAAAAGGGTGAAGCTGTATAATAATACTAAACATACACGAAGTGCCATCTTCTTAAGTTTATTCATTGCTGAGAAATGCTTTAGGCGTGTCAAAACAGCAGAATCCAGAGGCTTGTCAGGGGCAATGGTATCATCAACAATCCAAGGGTGACCTGATTATACAAACTCCATTGTTGTTAGTAATTCTACAAAGCTATGAAACTATAATGCCCTTCATACACCAGTAGCATATGAAAATCCAATAACAACAAGTACAACTCACACAAGACTTCATGAGCAGAAATTCTATTCTTGGGGTCCCTATCCAGCATCTGTTTTACCAAATCTTTAGCACTTTCTGAGATACTAGGCCATGGTTCAGATACAAAATCAAGCTCTCCATGTAAAATCTGTCTGAAAATTCCTGATTCGGATTCTACAAGTAATAGAAAAAGTGAATGCAGCTCAGGCAAAAAAGAATATAGCAAGTAGATGACCACATAATATACAGAGAAGAAAAAATTCATAGCTGCAAGTCCAAGAGGATTATAATACACATTCATTACCAGCCCAGAAAGGTGGGACCCCACTCAGTAAGATGTATAGGATAACACCAGCACTCCATACATCCACTTCTGGTCCATATTGCTTGCACAACACCTCAGGGGCAACATAGTATGGACTTCCAACTACATCATGAAAGGCTTGACCTGAAGGGAGAAAAGAAACAAAGAAAAAGTGATGATAGGTCATAATAAATAGATACTAATAAACAGCCAGAGGGAAAATCCTTTCTTAAAATGAGGGGGGGAAATGCATCTGATGCAGAATATTGATCTTTAAACAATCAACACATTATTCCAAATTATACTTTTCTCTACAACAATGAAAAAAAAAATGCCTTTCAAACAAACCAGTCATTACAAGAGTAAGCAATTGAAGAATCCTTGTCCTGAATTCTCTATCCAAAAATATCTAACACATTCTTGGGTACTTCTTTCTGCTGAGATCATTAATAACAAATTTGTTGAGCATAAAGTATGTGCACTGGTAAAATCCGCAAAGACATGTATATTTATTATGAAATTCAATACAAAAGATTAAGGGAAAAGAAGTGAGACAAGAATTACGATACTCCTAATTGGAGGAGGGATCAAACTCAGTGGAGAATACATGATCTAAAATATATCACAGACCACAATACAATCAATTCAAAGAAAGCTACCTCCATAAAACAAAAGTATGCGATTTATTGTTAGGAAGAAAATCATTACAGTCATGCACAAACCCATCAGTTAGCTACTTCAGAATATTGAAAATTCAAAACAAATCAGAAAGAAGCCGCACATGAAAGAAGATAACATGCAGTGATTTTGACACAAGAAATAAGCATCAATATTGTGAAATCAAAAAAAGAATCACTGATTCAAAAGCAATGCTAACACGTAACACAATTACAATAATTTCCATCATTCATTTCCACCAAATCCAATGATTGAATCTCCCAATGATTAAAACCACAAGAACCAAAATGAAAAAATAAATAAATAAATAAACAAACAAACATGGGGCTATTATGACGCAGTATTCTTTAATTAAAAAAATCCAAAACTGAAAAGAGAACAAGAAATCAACCTGGCTTGTAGAAAACAGATAAACCAAAATCCGTGGCCTTCATCTTGGCATCTTCACCAGGGGTATCAAACAAGAAATTCTCAGGCTTGAGGTCCCTATGCATGACCCCAAGAGAGTGGCATGCCTCCACCACCGCAACAATGGTCTTGATCAACTTAACAGCCTCTCTCTCGCTGTAATGACCCTTCTGAATGATCCTATCAAAAAGCTCACCCCCAGCACAGAGCTCCATTACAAGGTGCACAAACACAGAGTCCTCATAGGTTCCCTGTATCTGAACCACATTTGGGTGCTCTGACAAATGATGCATGATCTGAATCTCTCTCCACACATCATCATAATCATCTTGACACAAAAGCTTCCTCTTTGGGATGGATTTGCAGGCATAGAGCTTCCCTGTGGTTTTGTGGGTGCACAGGTATGTGGTGCCAAATTGACCTTGCCCAAGTTTCTTGCCAAGAAGGTAATGATCCCTCAGCCTTGGGGTTTGATATGGCAACACCGCTGTGCATTTTGAAGATGTTTTTGATGCAAAACTATTCTTCTTCATCTCAATTCAAAGGGTGAATGAAATACCTCAAATGGGTATGATCTAAAGAGATCAAAGATTGTTTCTTTTCCCTTTTCTCCTCTTCTCTTCTCTTCTCTCTCTTCAAGAATCTGTTAACCCGTAAACTTTTCTGTGGGGGATTGTTGTTGTTGTTAATGCTATATTAGTCAAGAATCCACTATTCGTGTTACTGTTTAACAATTGTCAATTTTATGATTATTGTTTGGATTGGAATTGGAGGTTATTTGATGCACTCTATATTCATTGGTGGAGGAGAAGCTGCTGACTCATAGATAGGTGGGGTGGGGAAACATTTTTTATTCAATATCATACATATTAAAAAAAAAAAAGCAGTTGTATTTATAAAATCTACTTCTTTTTGCAACCTTTTATATCATTTTTTTATTACCATTAGATTAAAATCAATCAATTCTATCAATTGATGTCATTTTATACCATTTATTTGATTTTAATTTAATCATAACAAAATTTATTATAAGAGATGGTGAAGAAAAAGAGATTATTTTAGTATAACCTTCCCTATAAAAAAAATGATATATAAGTTTGAGGTAAAATAGAGTGATACAATATTTTTAAACCGTGATCTTATTTTTGGGATGCCTATTATATATTCTTATCATTAAAATGATAGTATTTACTTTTCTTATTAACGTTTTTTATGTTAGTTTTATGTAATTTTAAGAGAGTACAACGTGTAGTATATGTAGTTTATCTAAAATCAGTAATTATTGAATTATGTTTTAATTTTTGTCTAAATAGACAAAATGTAATTTTTTTTTTTTTGGGGGGGGGGGGGGGGGATCACAATAATAATTTAGAACGGAAAATATTTAAAACAATTCAACTATTTGGATATATATATATATATATATATATATATATATATATATATATATATATATATCTCAACTATTTGGATAATTTTTTATTGCATAAACATAATATCGTATATATATTTTTTCTAATTAAATTCAGGTATAAGGATTTTCTTTTCATTTTTATTGAAATGGAGGAAATATGATAAAAGAGGGTTTTTAATTAATAATTCACGATGGAGAGTATTTAAAAATATTCTGCTATTTGGATAAACTTTTATTGCATAAACATACTATACACGTAATACCATATATATTTGTTTGGTTTTTAATTAAATTCAGGTATAAGCATTTTCTTTTAATTTTTGTTGAAATGGAGGAAATATGATAAAAGATGAAAAAAAATCACATTCATAATTCACAATGGAGAAAAGTTAAAATTATTCTGTTTACCAAAAAAAAAATTATTCTACTATTTGGATAATTTTTTATTGCATAAACATACTATACAAGTAATACCATATATCTTTCTTTTGTTTTTACTTAAATTTGGGTATGAGCATTTTCTTTTAATCTTTGTTCAACTGGAGGAAATATAATAAAAGATGAAAAAAATCACAATAATAATTCACAACGGAGAATAGGTAAAATTATTCTACTATTTGGAAAAAAAATTATTGCATAAACATACTATACAAAGGTGTACCATACATATTTCTTAGTTTTTCAATTAAATTCAGGTATAAGTATTTGCTTTAATTTTTTGTTTGAATGGAGCAAATATGATAAAAGATGAAAACAATCACAATAATAATTTACAATGGAGAGTAGTTTAAAACTATTCCACTATTATATTGGATAATTTTTTTATGGGAAAAATGTTTCTGCAGTTAATGCAGACAAGTTATCTGCATTTATTTCTAAAACGACGTCGTTTTGATATTGAAATCTTAAAAAATTATAAATATAAAGACTATTATAACCCTGAAATAAATTAAAATTACAAAAACACCATGATTTCCGTTCAAAACGACGTCGTATTGGGCTTACTGCAGATAACTTATCTGCAGTAACTGCAGAAAAAACGAACCCATTTTTTATTGCATAAACATACTATACAAGTAATATCATATATATATATATATATATATATATATATATATATATATATATATATATATATATATATGGGTTCCTTTTTTCTGCAGTTACTGCAGATAGGTTATCTGCAATAAACTCAATATGACGTCGTCTTGGGTTGAAAATCATGGTGATTTTATAATTTTAATTTATTTTAGGGTTATATTAGTCTTTATAATTATAATTTTTTAATCTTTCAATCCCAAAACGACATTGTTTTGAGAGTAAATACAGATAACTTATATGCAGTAATTGCATAAATATTTATATATATATATGTAGGGAAAAATATTTCTGCAGTTAATGCAGATAAATTATCTGCATTTATTCTCAAAACGACTTCGTTTTGGTATTGAAATTTTAAAAAATTATAAATATAAAGACTATTATAACTCTGAAATAAATTAAAATTACAAAAACACCATGATCTCTGCCCCAAAACGACGTCATATTGGTTTACTGCAGATAAATTATCTGCAGTAACTGCAGAAAAAGCGAACCCATATATATATGAGCTAGGTTATACTTACAACCTTTTTTTTTACAACCTCTTACAACCATATCTTAACCCCGTTGATTTCCGCCAATCAACGGTTATGATTTTTGTCAATTTAACTCATTAATTAATTATTAATTCACAATAAATGATAACCATTGATTGACGGAAATCAACAGTGTTAAGATATGGTTGTAAGAGATTGTAAAAAAAAGATTGTAAGTATAATCTTTCTATATATATATATATATAAAAAAAATTAGAGCCCTTAGATATAAGTGAGATCAACGGACAAGATTAAGAGTGTAACTTACACTGGTGTAAAATGATCATGACCTATATATATATATATATATATATATATATATATATATATATTCCTTTGTTTTTTAATTAAATTCAGGTAAAGCACATGTATGATATGATTATGATGTTGCGTTTTCATTTATTAGCCATCGTGTGGTCACCTGTCATAAATTACCAGATTGATCCCTACTCTGATGATAATGGTTATGAGTTGTCACACCTATATTTGACCTCAAATAACTTTTCAAATATCTGTACGTGTAGCGATTACTTGAATAACATATGCTCCTATTCTCATGTTATTATAAAAGGGTATTCCTGTAAATCGCTGGTAAAGTAGAATCTATACCCTTCAATAACAAAGCTTCATGCACGCAATTTTCTCCCGTATATTCATGCATAAAAATTGAGTTAATTGTCTAATGATTTGTTCATATTCTTAAGATTCTTGGAAATGTTGTAACATTCTAACATTTAGTTTAAATTCAGAAAAAAAAAAAATTACAGGAAGTTATCAGTTTTTAGGATATTACATTGAATATCTTGACTGTTTTTCATTCTATTAAGAAGGGATAGGAAAATAAATTTAAATGTTAAATTACTCTTACGAGAAATATTAATAACATATTTTTTAATGTTTTTATAATTAAGTAAAAGTTCTACTAATTTCATTAGTAAAACATAAATTTAAATTTAATAAAATTAACATAAAATTTTAATTAGTAATTAAAATATAACGACAACCAACCAACAACACATATTTAATACTTTAGTTGTCACGTCACTTTTGTTTGACCATACTTGTTTATCATTTTTTTAGTCTAAATTGTATTATAAAATAAGTCGCATTACTACAAACTGAAATTCACCGTAAACTCCATGCGTAGTGATTGGAATTTATGAAATCTATACTTGATTTTTAATTATCTTTTAAATCATTTACATTTTTTAGTAAAAGAAATTATCTACGTGATGTAACATATAAAACTTATCATAAATCCGAGACTTTATCTGAGTTAATCTTTTACAAAAATATTTAGCTCTGATAAGAATATTGTTTTTAAACAATATAAAATTATAACATTTTTAAGAATTTCTTAAACTGTTAAATATTTTGAGAACTACTAATCACATTAACAAAATTGAAAAGCAAGTATATGTAATTTCCTTCCACTTTTAGCCACGTTACATATAATATTATGTTGGATATAGGTGGCGGAGACAATAAAGTAACAGCCGCTTGAGAATTATTCTTGTTGACAACAATGTTTTCATAGAGTCACAAGAATTTAGAGACAGCGTTTGGGAATGTTGGATAGGAGTACAGGCTCACGTTCGAAACAAATGAACAAAGTAAAAATTACATAAAAGGTTTTTTATTATGTAATATCATTTCAAATCTTCAAATCAGATTTACTTTTTTCACTTGTCATAATCCTGTTCATTGCAAACATTATGAAGATTACGATATTTTAAATTTAAAAATAAGTAGAATCCCAATTGAGTAATTGATTAATACAATACAAGTGAATATATATAATTAATAACAAAGAATTGTAATAAATTAAACCAGTCATATACTGGTTCCCCTTTGACACAAAGAAATATGATCATAAAACTAATCTAGATGACATGAAAATAAACATATACTGAACATCCAAAGCCAATCTTTCTGTAACTATAAACCACGAGGAAACAAAAAGTAATTAGTCTTTACACATATGAATCAATCACTCATCAGACCCTGTCAATACCTTAACCATAACCTGCATGAGACTCACTCTTGTTTGTAAAGACAATATGTAATCAGCTGTTTCTCTGAAGAGTCCATCCAACCCAATGGATTCAGTACTATTGGGTATAAGCCTCTTCAATGTTGTGACACGTCTCTGAATTCCATTGGATCCTCTTCTAGAACCACCCCTCCTCTTCATTAAAATCCTTCTTAGCCTCCTACTCTTGACACTTTTCTTCATGATCTTCTGCTTCTTATATGATGAATTTCTGTTTTCTTCAATTCCCTGAAGAAGCAGATCTTTCAAAGAGAGGGAAACAAGAGAAGGCTGTGAAGAAACTCCCATAGTTTTCCACTTAAAACACCAATGAATGAAGCTCTCTTCTCTCACTTTTCAAATTTAGGTTCCAACACTAGGGCTATAGCAGAAATGACACACCGGGATAGCATTTATATAGTGTATGTGGCACATGGGTTTGTATGCACTAAGGATAATTCAGACTAACTTAAAAGGATTAGAAAGTGGGGACCACGGTACAATTTCCAAAGAGGTTTCCAAGGGAATGGGAGAGCGACATGTGTACACAAATGTGTTGCTTGTTGCTTTGAGCATGTTCTCCAAACCGATGCACATGCATCCACATGATTCTTCTTCACAGCACCAAACCTCTCTAAACCACCACCTTTCATCACACACACAACTCTATCTAATAAGACCACCCTGGATTATTCCTCCCCAACTTTCAAAATTCAATGCATTTACAATTTGAATTGGTTTCCTTCATCCTCCTTCCAGCTCATTATACCTGGCATTTCCACATATTTAATCATCTTAGGGTTCATAGCATTTAGTCCGTGCTTCTTAAAAGGAAACCATGTTACACAGGACACTAAAAAAATAAAGTATCATTAGATTGTTACTTGCCAATGCTTATGTTAACAAAAAATGGACAATTTAGATCATAATGTTGGGATAAGGTAGATCACCTCTGACATTCATGAACCATATTTTTCATTGAAACTGAATAAATGAGTTCTCAAAAGAACCATCTTCATACGTGTCTATCTTCATAGACAAATAATATTATGATACAACAAAAAAATGATACATTGTACTTGTAGACGATATGAGATCTGACAAACATTCTTCCATCCCTTAAAATTTTCGAATCTTCCCAACATCGCGAAGAAACAAGGAGAACTGGAGAGGTGCAAATAAAAGATTATTGTGCCTTCCAGTAAAATATGAAGGCTAAGAAAACGTTACAAAAATCAAGGACACTCGCCTAATTAATGACATCCACATATCCATGAGAATCCAAGTAATTATAATTCTAAACTAACAAAATTAACAAGCCTTTTTCATGTGGAAGCTAGAAAATAGAGCTGCATGCATGCTAAAATCAACATAGAAAACCCATTGATGTATTTGTAAGAGGTAGGAAGGACCTATATATATAATTGCTATACCTCAAATTATTTAGGGGAGGGTTATATTTACAAAAAATTTGTTTACAAACTACACTATGTACTTGTACTTCCAGAAGTACACTGAGTTACACTATGTACTTCCGCGAGTATATAGTGTAATCTGTAAAAATTTATAAAAAATATTTGTAAATGAATCATTTCCATTTATTTATGTTCAAAATAACAATAGTACGCTACATGATCCTCAATATATTTTTACTTGGGTAGTGGGCCGCTCGTGACTAGCGTAAACAAAATCAAACCCTAAATCGGATTAATAGAGCTCATTAAAAAAAAATCAATTCTTACTGAGACCATTAAAAAAAAATCAGTTAATGAAGATAAGTTATTTGCATTTACTTCCAAAACGACGTCGTTTTGGGATTGAAAGATTATAAAATTATAATTATAATGACCCTGAAATAATTAAAATTATAAAAATACCATGATTTCCGTCCCAAAACGACGTCGTATTGGACTTACTGCAAATAACTTATCTGCATTAACTGCAGAAAAAACGAACCATATATATATATATATATATATATATATATATAAAATATTTTTCATGTTGTATGTTATCATTTTATCTCCTACAAATATATAAAAGTGAGTGGAGCCCATGCGAACGAAAGACAAGGAAAAAAATAAAGTCTCACACACTTTTATGTGTGTGTAGAAAATAATTTTATCTCTTATAATATGATAAACATTAATCCATATATATATATGTGTGTATATATTATAAAGAAACTATTTCAACCTTAAAGTTTAAGTGATTAGGTGAAGACTCGTTAATATTTTATATTCTATATCATATTTCTCTAAGGTGCATGTGAGGTGTATGTGTGTGTGTTGTGTATATCTAAAAAAAAAGGGGCGAAAAAACACAGCCAATGTTTAATCATTGTTGGAAAATCAATCCTTTGTCTCTCTACCAATTTAATTTCGGCTCTGAATTGATTCGTCCATTACAAATTCTCTTCTACTTTGCCAAGAGAAAATTCTTACAGGCATTCTAGACATCGATTTCTAACCGGCCATGCATCCAAATTATGTCACAAGGGATGGGGATCAGGATCCCCAACAATTAGAGAGACCAAATGAACGCTACAATTTCAAATTTGTAGAACTAAATTTTTGTCTCCTTTTCTCTTGCAGAAGATACTGATCCATGCCACAAAGTGCTAAAATGTTAATAAAATAAGAGGCCATATGCAAGCCAGCAATATAATAACCCCAGCAGGCCAGTATATAATTAAGAACGACTTTGTCTAGTCAGGACAAATTTGGCCTGCGTTTACAATTAATTCAAAAAATCAATTTAAGCTCACAATACCAGATCATCAATAAGCTCGCTCACAAAGGGCATATTAAAGCCATTTAGAATAAGTCAGACAATCATAAACATTTATAACATAATATTGGCAAATATAGTATCCATGATACATCCAACTTCTTATTTATATAAGCATGAGCTAGTCAAACTAGTTTATACATGATGGATATAGCTGTTTGGAACCAATACATATTTGGAGGAATATCCAAATTCCTCGTCTAATGCAGGTTGGCGCCGGAATGGACCTGAAGTGTCCTGCTCGGAACAACTTGAAGAACATCAGGTTGTATTGATGCACACTCACCAAAATCCATTAAAGTTAGATATTAGTTTTGAGTGCTAAATTCAATATAGATTGTCAGTACTCAGTAGAGGTATTTCTAAAAGAGATTGGCTAGAACAAATATTTTCTTCAGAATCAGACACATTACGCTAATATTCAGAATCTAGTTCACATGTTCTATTCTACAATAACCCCAATTCTCAAATTCAAGTGTTTGTCCCTCTTCTCCATTTACTGTGAGCTTTGTCTTGATTTTTCTCTTATTAAACTTCATGCAGCTTGATTGAGGTTGACAATGAGATTCAAGAATTTATATATTAGATAACGATTTAAAAACCTTGTCACAAAGATATCATGTCAACTAATACAGCAGAAAAGAGCATCTTAAAAGCGTTTCCTCAAATTCCAGGGACTGTGGTAATGGGGGTATGAGAGATGACATACAAGATACATCATATGGAAAAGAAGAAAGAAAAAGAAATGACAAAAGCAAAGTCCCCTGCCTTGTACCTAGTGAATGACTCCTTACTCGGAGTAGCATGATAAGATGCTCCTGTCAATTACCCACTCAACTTGGTTAGCTGACACATGCAAACAATGATTTTTACTAAAAAGAAGAAGCAATAGTGCCTCATCCAAGGCTACAGCAGCAGTGGTGTTCTTATCATCATCTTTTTCTCTGGCTACTACCTTCTTTTTGTTCTCTTTTAAAAATCCGACAATTCCTCCTTATATGCCCCTCAATACCACAATGGTAACAATTGAATCTTTCTCTAGATTTTGATCTGTTCTGTGACTTTCCACGACTTTTGCCTCGGTAATGACATTTATTAAATTTTTCTTTACTCTTCCCCATGTTCTCTGTGACAAGTGTTTGTGCATCATTTGAACCCATGTACTTCCTTTTAGTCTCTTCATTTAATAGTGCATTGGTAACCATACTCATAGATAATTTACCCTCTGAAGCAAAATTACTAATAGATACCACCAAGGTCTCCCAAGAATATGGTAAAGAGCTCATCAACAGCCAAGCTTGCAGCTCATCCTCAAGTGTAAACTTTATTGTGCTCAACTGATTCACTATACTTTGATACTCATTCAAATGTTCACCGATAGTGATATCACCCTTATACTTCAAGTTTACAAGCTTTCTCGTCAAGAATACTTTGTTCCAGGCTGTTTTCCTCTCATATAGAGTTGTCAACTTTTTTCAAAGTTCTTCGGCCGATGTCTCGTTTGCAACATGATAAAAAATATTGATGTCCAACCATTGCCTAATTGTGGCAATTGTTTTTCTATTCATTTTATTCCATTCTGCATCTGATATCTCCGATGGTCGCTTAGCATTACCCTCAACAGGTTCGTACAAGTCTTTGCAAAATAAATAATCCTCCATCATAGGCTTCCAAATCAACCAATTTGATCCATTGAGTTTAACCATAGTACTCGAACCACCTTCCATATCAATTTACACCACAAACACCCACAATTATAAACCAAAGCTCTTGATACGACTTTGTTGGGGCCAAACTCAATAACCAAGTGCAAATTGAAATAAACTTATAACTCAGAAAAACAACAACAACAAAGTAACAGCAAAAACACAATAATTTGACACAGAAGAATTTTTACGTGGAAACCCAATATGGGAAAAAAAAAAACAACAACTGGATTTTGTCGGAGTCTACCAAACTTTCACTGTCACCAACCAATAATAATGGAAACACATGCACGATGTTATCTCTCTATATAACAATAGAAGAATCCAACAATATCATCAAATAAATGGAGCATGGAGAAAAGTCACCAAAAAAACTCTAAAAGAGGCGGAAACCAATATGGTTCTCTCTTTTCTGTTCTTCAACATCACTGAACTCTTTTCTTCTTTCTTTGTCACCAGCAAAAACACAGACCAGCGGCAATCTTCTTCTTTCTTGTTTTTGTGCAGCCGCTGCTGTCTTTGTTTTTCTTTTTTCGGTTGTTTTTCTTTTTTCGTTTCTTGAAGTAGGTTAAGTTATTGAAATGGACCAAGGGCCCACTGCTAAAAATAATGGGTCACGGACCCATCACTAATATTCAGAATCTAGTTCATATGTTTTATTTACAATAATCCCAATTCTCAAAAGGAAAAAACTATTTTTATAATATATGAGATAAGTTTTTTCTCTTACACATTCTTCGATAATTGTGTCATTTTTTTATTTTTATTTTTTCAAGTGGTGGAGTCATACATTTATCTGACATGAGATAATTTATCTCCTTTAATGAAATCCATTCTCAAATTCAAGCATTTGTCCCTCTTCTCCATTTTCCGTGAGCTTTGTCTTGATTTTTCTCTTATTAAACTTTGTGCAGCTTGATTGAGGTTGACAATGCGGTTCAAGAATTTATATATTAGATAACGAATCAAAACCCTTGTCACAATGTATTATGTCAAGTAATATAGCAGAAAAGAGCATCTTAAAAGCGTTTCCTCAAATTCCAAAGACTGGTAAGGGCGATGTGAGAGATGACAGACAAGATTCATCATACGAAAAAGAAGAAAATAAAAAATGACAAAATCACTTTATTTTTCCGCAATCATGTTTACTCGTGACTAGTTTGAATCAATGTTATGATGAAAGTGAACTAAGCAATCCTTGTATATAAACAATTTCACAATCTCAAAATCCAAGCATGCGGCCTCAAGCCGCAAGGATTTAAATAATAAAGAGAAAAATAAAAAAATCAAATAATGAAGAAATTGAGAGAAAAATAATATATATATATATATATATATATATATATATATATATATATATATATATATAAAACCATTTCAACCCAAAAATTTAAGTTATTTCTCTTCGATCCAAAAGTTTAAGTTATTTCTCTTAATTATCTTATATTCTATATCACATTTCTCTCAGGTGTATGTGTGTGTGTGTTGTGTATATCTAAAAGAAATGGAGAGAAAACATAGCCAATGTTTAATCATTGTTGCAAAATTAATCCTTTGTCTCTCTACCAATTCAATTGCGGTTCTGAATTGATTCGTCCCTTACAAAATCTCTTCTACTTTGCCAAGAGAACATTCTTACAGGCATTCTAGACATTGATTTCTAACCGGCCATGCATCCAAATTATGTAACAAGGGATGGAGATCAGGATCCCCAACAATTAGAGAGACCAAATGGACGCTACAATGTCAAAATTGTAGAACTAACTTTTGGTCTCCTTTTCTCTTGCAGAAGATACTGATCCATGCCACAAAGTGCTAAAATGTTAATAAAATAAGAGGCCATACGCAAGCCAGCAATGTAATAACCCCAGCAAGCCAGCATATATATAAGAACGAGTTTGTCTAGTCAGGACAAATTATGGCCTGCCTTTACAATTCAACGAATCAAATTAAGCTCACAATGCTTGACCAGATCATCAATAAGCTCCGCTCACAAAGGGCATATTAAAGCCATTTAGAATAAGTCAGACAATCACAAACATTTAAAACAAATGTTGGCAAATATCGTATCCATGATACATCCAACTTCTTATTTATATAAGCATGAGCTAGTCAAACTAGTTTATACATGGTGGATATAACTGTTTGGAACCATTACATCTTTGGAGTAACATTGAAATTCCTCCACTAATGCAGATTGGGGCCGGAATGGAGCTGAAGTGTCCTGCTCGGAACAACTTGAAGAACACCAGGTTGCTCTGCAAATATTAAATAACAATAATCAAACTAAAATCTCAAGTACCAACTGTTGATATGGAGAGCACATTTACCAAATGAGAACAATCAGAAAAAATCATGCACAGGAAAAACAAGATTTTCTTTATTTATGTTGAATGTTCTGAGCACCACGAGGAATCAGGGAGAGGGACAATTATACGGAGACTATGCCTCTACAACAGAAAGGCTCAGACAGCTAATAGTTGAAAAATCAACAAATGACTATTGATGCACACTCACCAAAATCCTTTAAAGTTAGTTTTGGGTGCTAAATTCAATTTAGAATGTCAGTACTCATTAGAGTTATTTCTAAAAGTGACTGGCTAGAACAAATATAATCTTTAGAATCACAGACACATTACACTAATAATATTCAGAATCTAGTTCAGATGTTCCATTCAACAATAATCTCAATTCTCAAATTTAAGCGTTTGTCTCACTTCTCCATTTACTTGATTTTTCTCTTATTCAACTTCATGCAGCTTGATTGAGGCTTAGATGACGATTTAAAACCCTCGTCACAAAGATATCATGTCAACTAATACAGCAGAAAGGAGCATCTTTAAAGCATTTCCTCAGAATCCAAAGACTAATGGCCTAATGTTACATAAACAATTTCACAATCTCAAAATCCAAGCATGCGACCTCAAGCCGCAAGGATTTAAATAATAAAGAGAAAAAAAAGAAATAAAAAAAAGCTTACTTGAAATTTCAGCAACCTGATCAGGAGTAAGCTTAGCAGAGAATCCACTCGCAGCAGACTTGTAACTGTAGAGCAAAGCAGCCTTTGCAGCCTCCTCGCTGCAATCAATTAACGCAAAACCAAACCCCATTCAATTTCGACAAATCAGATTCGATCAATCCACAAATTCAGTTACTCACCTGCCCAGGACGGCGGAGAGGGTTCGGATGTGGTAGGCCTCAGGCTCCTCGTTCTGTGGTTTCTCGGTGTAAACGATGTGAACCGCCGGTGAGGCAGAAGCAGCAGCAGGAGAAGGAGAAGATGAATCCGCCATTGCGAAGATTACGAGGAAAACTACACACACCGCGAGGTTGAGAATACGCGTCGCCATCTTTATTTTTGTGCTCTTTATAACGCTAACCCAAACAAAATATCAAAATCATATTTGTCTTTTTGAAGGAAGTGCTCGTATATTTGCCAACTTTGCAGAAAAGACAATAATAATTTGCATTCATGGGCCCGCCGTAATTATCTACAATATTATACCAATATAGTATATTCGTAATCTTTTTTAAATAATATTAAAACTTTACTAATAATTTTTTTTCTTTTTATACAATGTTTAATAAGACATGATTATTATATAAGATAATATTAGATGAATTATATAATACAATATTATAAAAATATATTATATTTATCTAAATTGTTATATTATATTATTTAAAAAAAAAAATAGATTCGAGAAAAGAGAATAAAAGAAAGATTTGATTAAAAAAGAAAATAAAGGTTTGATGAGGGTGCTGATTGCAAGTCATCCACTGTGCAAGGATTTCGACTATTCATAGAATGCATCTCACTGGCGAAGCAATTCAATGCTTCCATCGACGGTTGCAGTAAAACCGCGTTTGGACGACAGTGATAATAACAATGGAGGAGATGAAAGAGAATTAGAAACCAAAGGTGAAAAGGAAATCTTATCATCTATATTATCAATTTTTTTTTTTCTTTTCGTGTGTATTAAACGAACATTAAAAGATAATAGGTTAGTTTGGTATTTGTTGGGAAGTTTAGTTCTTGTTTAACCTGATCAGAAATACTTTAGCTTGATTGATGATCAAGTTAAAATTAATTTGATTAATGATTTAATACAGATATGTTTATAGTCAAGTCAAGAGGCTCAATATCAAAGACTTAAAAAAGAGTAAGAAAACACCTTCGTCCCGGAGACGTACAACTAGTTGCAACTTTCCTTAGTCTCTTGACAGTCGAGCTAAAAGATTCACGTGTCATTCCCAACTATACCTAAGAGACATAGTTCACAAATAGATATTTCTCACAGATGAAATAGGTTAAATAACTATTTGAGTCCATCAATGAGATTAAATACTATCACTTATCATACTAATATAATGAAGGGTCAAAGCTTGTATCCATTGTACTTTAAGCTCATTGATCAAATATTAACTTGTGTCATAATGCCTTGTAATTATCTCCCACATTTCCCCATTTGTTCAAGCCAAGTAAAGCTTTCTAGTAGGAGCATAATCACAATATCCCATGCCAAATACTATACCACGGCAAAAGCATATTTCTAATACTTTTGGACAAAAGAAATGTCCAATTAAGATTGATTGTATAAGTTTTTTCATATTAACGTAGTCAAACACATTAGTGATGATATAATGGAATTAACGTCATATCAACGCCATGTAACCAATAGCCTTATTGTAAAATTTTGAAAGTATATAACTTTTAATTCAACCATATCTTCAGAGGTCCAAAAGCTATTAGAACAATCAATTACAATGTTGTATAAATATTAATTTAAATTAAAATTTTAATAATAATGAAAATTTGTTAACGTATATAATTTTTTTTAAAGATTTAATATTTCTTATGTTATGACAGATAATTTATTATCTTCCGTACATATAAAAATATATGGGGTTAATGTAAGATCATATAAGGAAAAAACACATGAATTCTACATATTTTTATCAAGGGAAGAGTTATGTTTACAACTTTTTTTGTTTACAATTCTTACAACCTCAACTATGTTCTAGAACATAGTTGAGGTTGTAAGAGTTATAAACAAAAAAAAGTTATAAACGTAACTTATAACTTGCCCCTTTTATCAGTGTGTAAGAAATAAATTTATTTACTATAACACAAGAAATATTAATTTTTTTTAAGGAATGTGCACCTAATTCTCCAAAAAAAAGTATATATTTTTTTTTTGGGAAACTTACGGCAAAATACATTGAAATCGTATTTACCAAAAAAAAAAAAAATACATTGAAATCGTAAGATTTTACTTTGAACTTTCTTCCTTTGGCAACCTTGCTTTCTCCTTTCCAGAAAACGGACACAGTGAGTCGGATCTAAAATCGAAAAAATCATTCTCATTCTCTCATTTTCGCATCCTATTCACGTTCACACTCACACGAGAGAAGAAGAAAAACTGTTGAAATGTCGAGCGACAGCGACGAGGACGAGCTCCTCCAGATGGCGTTGAAGGAGCAAGCTCAGCGAGATCTCAACTATGGCAAATCCTCCTCCAATTCCCGCAAGCCCGTCGCCAACTACGTCCAGCCACCGTCGTCTCAGCCCAAGAAGTCCGCGCCTCCGGCGAAGAAATCGCAGAGCAAAGGGAGGGCGGTCGACGACGACGACGATTCCGAAGTGGAGATGCTCAGCATATCGAGCGGGGACGAGGACAACGCTAAAGATCCGATTCCTGCGTCGAGGAATCGGGGAGATGCTGGTGGCAGCGGTGGTGGAAGAGCAGGACCACGGGAGGATGATCGAACCTGGGACGGCGAGGAGCCTAGTCGCTGGAAGCATGTTGACGAGACTGAGGTATGCGATGATTACTGATTAGGGTTCATATATGATGCAGTTCACTCTTCTTTTATCATTTTTAGTTTTCTTAAGTTAATTGTTTTTGTCTGAATCGTGCTGGTGAATCGAATGTTAAATTGATGTAAATAGTTAATGAAGTTTTATTCACAGATATTCTTAGGAGGCTCTAATGTTTTAATGATCTTCATTCCCTTCTAAATTTTGCGAGTTTGTTTTGGAAGCATTTCGTGAGGGGCTAAATGTCTGGAAATAAAGATTGGAGTATAGATTTGAGGTGAGTTGGATGGAAATACAAGAGAGAATGTAAATATGACACGTAGGAAACTTCCTCTTAGTTTATTGTGTTGATTTCTGCTGGATCTGTAGAATATATTTGATTATCTTCAGAGTATCTTAGAATATCTTGTAGCTTCCGAATGTTGTTTCTTGATGAATTTGGAGAAGTAGGACCATGTTGTGCGTGTTCGCTTGCAAGGACATCTTCTGCTGTCTGCCTCTCCAGTGATTTCACTTCCTCCTTAACCATGCAACCTTCCAACCTACTCTTCTAGCTATGCAGTACTTTGCTCATATTTCCCGTACCTCTGAGCTGTCTTTCCAGCTGTAGTTTTTGGAGCCCACATTATTCTTAGGATTATATTCTTCTAGTTTGTTATTTGTAATTAGCTTAAAGCTTACCAAGCTTTAGCTTGAGGGGGAGTGTTAGAACATCTGAGAATATATTGTAGAATCAAATAGTCCTTGAGACTTGTTTCCTAATTTCGTTATGTTGGAATATTTGCCATGTGATTGGAAGTCACAGGTTCGAGTCATGAAAAGTGGCCTACTATAGACACATACAATGAGTCCAACACTTCCCTAAACCCTGCGCATAGCAGGAGCTTTATAGCACTAGGCTACTTTTTTTTGGTCTTATCATGTTAGTGGGTTTGGACTTGTACTAGTAATTTAGTAGTATTACACTAGTATTAACCTAATTCTTAGTATAAATAGGTGTTTGTGCTTTTTATTTTAGGCACACCAAATCAATCTAATCTTATATAATTCATTAGTATTCTGATAAACTTGTATTGCTTTCCCACCCGAGAACCCTATAATTCCAATAGGATGTAATGCTATATTTTGGAAGTATTAATCTTCATATTTCTCTAAACATACTTTTCTGAAATTATTAAAAGTTGTCTTCCTAATTCATGAGGAGAACCCTACTCTTAGGCAATATAAATGCTAACGTATCTTTACTCTTGGACTAGTTCAGTAACCATAGCATGATAAATTACAAAACAACGTTGAAGAACAGTTATTAATGGTGGAGTATTATGGTTTCACTTTCCATTGTTTTTATTTCCTTTGTGTTTTGCATCATGCATATTTTGATATTGTCCCCTAAGTAAATAGTTTACTTGAAATGAAGGAACTAATGTCTTTATCAATTCCATTCTTTTCTGTTCTTAGTGACTATTTCTTTGCATTTTGCTCCTCGTCCATTCATTCAATAAATTGTAATTTTTTTTAAATTCTTTCATTTTTTATTTATTTTGCTACTAGTAATGATCCATTATGAGAAAACTAAACGCCTTTTAAGCAATATACCAATAATCTTGTTCTGACTAATTAATAACATCTAAGATCCTAATAGTGATGCCCTCATTGTAGCGAGGTTGAACTTATATTTGCCATAAATCTACTGAGTTCTGGAGGGATATATACATTGTTAAGTGGTAAGGGATTGATTTTTGCGTTTTTTGTGCTTTATTTGGCTGTCATTTCTGTTTTTCATTCCTTTTCTTTTTGTCTGCTTGTTCTTAATTTTAGTTTATTACACTATGGACACTCTTGCAATATGTTATTCATCATGGACTGGGAGGATGGATTTGTACATTGTTGAGTGGGAAGGGGTTGGATTTTGGGCATCTTATGTTTCGTATGCTGTATATGGCTTGTTATTTCTGTTTTTCATTCTTCTATTTTCTGGTCAGTACTTGTTGTTAATAGAATCTTTTAAAATGTGTTTTCATCATGAACTTGGAGGATTGGAATTTAGGTGCTTGGTTCATATTTGATTTCTTCCATTAGAATAAAAGCATATTAGATGAAAGTACTTATGAAATTCTGTTGAATTTAATGTAGTTGGGCTTCTTTGACAGCTTGCCCGTAGGGTTCGTGAAATGAGGGAAACAAGGACTGCACCTGTGGCTAAAAAATACGAAAGGAAAGGTTCCGCATTGGGTAGAAAGGGGCTTAACTACTTACAATCATTCCCTCGTGGCATGGAATGTGTTGATCCACTGGGTTTAGGGTAAAGTTTATTTTGATGCTTATCTTGCGTTGTAGTTGCACTGTTTCCCTCTTCCTCTTGTTACCGTTTTGCTTTGTAGCTGGTGTTATTTCCATGTTTCTTCAGTTTTCCGAGGGATCAATCTTTTTGATTTATTGGTATTGGCATTTGGCAGAATCATAGACAACAGAACATTAAGGCTGATCACCGAGTCTTCAGATAGTTCTCCTAAGATTAACAAGGATAATCAGGATGGCAGCCTACGTGGTAATTATTTTTTGTTATTAGATATTATGTAGCATATTTATTTTCTGAAATTTTGTTTCTTTATAGTTCTTTTACTTTTCCATATGTAATAATTTTTTGTGAATCATGTCTTTTGTGACAAGATTTGATTAAGAGAAAAGAAATGGCTAGGAAGCACTCTTACAATTAACCAGGACAGATGAGTTATTGTTCTGCATTTATTATTAATGCAGATTTGTTGTACTTCAGTATTTGTCAATTAAGTAAAGGTTCTGTTTTAGAATGGTAAGCAGTGCCTGCAGATGGTAATGCTAGGATTGAATTGGAATGTGGAAGAATTTGTTGGCAAATGGCTTAGCCTGTAAACAATTCAGTGATCTTAATAGGATGTTCAATTGTTAGAAATCAAAGTTGAAAAGATGAGGAAAGTGGAGGAAGAAAACCTAGGGTTCTCAGGCATCATAGTTTAAAGTGGAATCACAAATTTTGACAGCTAGGGTCTAAAACATTTTCTGATTCTTTAATTACTGAAAATAGGAGTATAGGGCTGGTCAAAACTTTGGGGCTAAGTTGTACACAACTCGAGATTCAATGTAACTAATCAGCATACAGTTAACATAGGTTAAAACCCAATAACTGGGACAAATTAAGGAAATGCTCACAAAACTAAAGCCCATTTACAGATTTAACTAATACCTCATTACAATTTTATGGGATGAGATTATGGTTATGGCTTCTCTTAGGTGTTTAGCTCATGGCTATTTCAATAGAGTTCATATTTTTTTTTTGCAAGGAGACAGCCTTTCTAATTTCTTGAGTTTGTCAAGTTCCCTGTTGCATTTAAATTGCTCGAGGATATTCCCATCATTTAGAAACAAATCTCTTCTTCCTGCTTGTTTTATTTAAAACTAAAAGTAAGAAAGCAATATTAGAATATAGTTTTTGATCGGAAGGGTACTTTTGTAATTTAAATAAAATAGGCCATGATTGGTTTGAAATGTTTTGGGAAATTTGGTCTTTTTGGTATAAAGCAGAAGGATATTATATGCATGTATGTGTGTGTGGTGTCTAATCTTTTTGGCATGAAGGAAAAAGGATATTATGCGTGCATTCTCTCTCGGTATTCCCTCCCCCGGCGCGTTCTTTTAATAAATGGTAATCTTTTGAGACCGTTTCTGAAGGAATGGAATGAGGATTCTATCCAATTCTGGAGGGAATTACCATTTCCTCATTTGGTGGAGCAGGCATTTCTTCTGTGAAGCTGCTAACAAACATATTGTTTACTTATTCGTTTTCCCATCCCTGAATTCTTTCTTTCTATTTATATTGAAGTTCAAAAGCAAATTTTGAAACAGAATGTTAAGCCATCCTCTTTAAACATGAGACTTGTTGACAATATTTGTTGTTGCCTATTTACTCCCTTGTGTCTGGTCAGTCCTGTGGGCAATTCGAAAAAAAAATACATGTAAATGTTATTTCTTCTTGTCAAAAACAATAAAATGTGGATGCTGATCTCCATGAAAATGATTGTGAAACTGTAATTATACACCAGTGCATTAAGGGGTATTTAATATTGTGTAAACTATTATCAAATGGGCTTTACTTTACATAAGTATGTAGCAAATAACTAATAGCTAGTGCTGTTTAGATTGGTTGGAAAACTTGTGTCACCTTTCTTTTCTCTTTAAGTTCTTTTGGTTTGTGTGTACATGGTTCTTCTTAAGTGTTCTCGAGATTGATAGCATCTTTGATGCCATTATACAGAGAAATTACTTTATTTTTCGGAGAACTTCGATGCAAAGCTGTTCTTATCACGAATACACTGTAATACAAGTGCTGCCGATCTGGAATCTGGTGCGCTTGGTCTGAAAACTGATTTCAAAAGTCGTACTGAGCAGAGAAAGCAGCTGGTTAAGGACAACTTTGACTGCTTTGTTTCTTGCAAAACCACAATCGATGGTATGGACTTGATTTTTGCATGGTATTCAAACCCTAATTTAACCTTATAGAAGTAATCTTTTATTCTTGGGTGACTTATGCTCCTGTCACGCCCTTTTTTTTCTCATTAGTTATCCATGCAAATTGGTAAAAAAATTTAAGTTTAATAGTGTCATTCCCTAAGAGCATTCCTTCATTTTAATGTGAAACACTTCTTTTTTTAATTTACAGATATTGAGTCAAAGTTAAGACGAATAGAGGATGACCCTGAAGGATCTGGAACTTCCCATTTGTTTGATATTATTCAAGGAGTCAGTTTGCAGGCTAATCGTGCTTTGAAGCCTTTATTTGAGAGACAGGTGGGTGAAGTCTTTATTCTAGATTTTCTTGTGGCTGCTATTTTTAGAATTTAGGATAATTTTATTCATGATTTCTATGAATTGTGTAGGCTCAAGCAGAAAAAATTAGGACTGTCCAAGGAATGCTACAGAGGTTCCGGACACTTTTCAACCTACCAAGTACTATCCGTGGTAGCATTAGCAAGGGTGAATATGATTTGGCAGTCAGGGAGTACAAGAAGGCCAAGTCAATTGCTCTGCCCTCTCATGTATAAAACTATTATATTGATTTAGACCTTTCTGTAGGTTTCTCTTGTTTGATTGGCAAACAAGTTTATTTTAGGGGTTTCTTGAAATTCTAGTATACATGCTCCTGAATATTTGTTCTCAAGAGTCACCCTTAAGAATTGCATCCATTCAAGCATTTATTTAGGTGTATCATGCTTTTGGGTTTTCTCTGGTTATTCTAATTATTTACTTTGTCATGCTCTTTTACTTAATGAAGTTAACTCTTGTCATCTTGATTCAGATTCAGGTAGGGATCCTGAAACGTGTTCTCGAAGAGGTTGAAAAAGTGATGAATGAGTTTAAGTCTACGCTTTTCAAGTCTATGGAAGATCCGCAAATAGATCTAACAAATGTAAGTCTTTAATTTCTCCAGTTTACCAGCCATGTTGGACTGGAATTAATTCAAAAGAAACATTGACCTGTACGCATTTCATCATACAGTGTCAGAGTGTTTGCTTATATCGTAGCTTTAAATTTCCCTTACACATACACACACGTGACGTATGTTCTGTTAGTTGTTGGTCCCATTACTGTTAGCTTAGTCAGTTAGCCTAGTCAGATTCTGTTAAGATGCTGAATCAGACTGTTATGAGAAGTTAGTTTTGATTCCATTGTAAATGTAACAAGCCCAACCACTGTAAAGTAATTTTCAACAATCATCAGTTGTCAGATCACAAACTCTCTAATATTCTCTCTTGCTCTTTTCTCTCATTCTCTTCCACTTTCTACCATTTTCTCGCATGATCACAAATTCTATCTTTGCTTGTGGTGATCAGTGATGTTACCATTGTTCCTGTATTTTGCTCAGCAGTAATTAGCGCATAATGTTGCATGAGACTGATAGTTCTGCTAGTAGCAGGTTTAGAATGAAATTTATTTAATTGTTTGATGGGTTTAAAAGAAGTCATAAATGACCAGGGAGCTGCTGTTTGCTTGTAGATTGGTATTTATTTAAAACTTTACCATTTTATCCCCTTCCTTCGGTTTTATGTGATATTTTAAACTGTGTATTTGATGGTACCAGTCAATTGGAAAGCAAGGAAAACAACAATTATACTGTGAAATACTCCATTAATTCAATATTCAACAAAGGGGACAATCTGAGACAGTAATAACTGTGACAGAAGACAAATCAGAGCATTACAGACACTCTATATTCAGCCTCCAACTAATAGATATTAACTATAACCAAATCACAATACAAAACTACACGATGACAGTGATAAAAGGACTCAACAATGAAATTCCCTATTACAGTAATTAAGGACTCATCAATGGCAGTAAGCAACAATCACAGTAAATGTGACAGTGATCATTCGTCTTCTATCCAAACCCGTAACCTAGCTCCTGAGCACCATGCTCAGTTGCTACCTCACTCCTCAATATGAATAATTCACACACGCCCACGTTCTCCTTCCTTTTTATCCATTGGGCCCAACTGAATGTTCCTCACACGCACTCCCCATTTCTCCTTCTCCATTCATGGCTTGCCACATGGCCTCTCTAATAACAAACCTCCCTTCTTCATTTGCCTTCACTAATAGTTGGTTATTCTCCATCTTTTGGGCCTTACTTTTCCTCACATAAGTTCTCTCAAATGGTTGTAATGGCCCATCAGTATTCAAATTTCAAGCACATCAGCTTGGACATGTCACTGGTGATGGGCTAGTGGTGAGGGCTTTGGACAGTTTGAGGGAGATACTAGGTTTAAACCTCCTTGCAATCATTATTTTGAAAAATTGCATACCATTTGGGTATGACACTGGTATAGTTTATTGGTTTAACATCAAAATCATCAACATCACTTTTGAAAAAATTACTTAAGCTTGTGCAACAATATTAACTTAAATCAAATTGCTTGTGTGATAAACTACTGAGGTCTGAGGCTACTTATGTTTTTAAGTTGCTCTTTGTTGTTCTGCATTTTCTTCCTGTGTCTGTTTCAAGGTAGTTGCCATATCTAATATGAGAAGAGATTGGACAGACTTGCTGCATTCTTAATTTTCTTATTCTTTGTGTGTTTCTTGTCTTCTATGCTTTTGAGGATACCTTATCCTCAGCCTCATTGTACTTCTCGTCATTTTTCTTGAAATTAAATCTCCTTTTCTATACAAGGGAAAAAAAACTAATGAGTTTACTATGGAACTGTAGACAACTTGTCAAAGTAAGGCCCATAGGTCTAACAACAGGTTATGTCCAGCAAATCAAGATTTCATCAAAATGTGCTAAAGACATGGACTTTAGGGTAACATCATTAAATAGATAATCAGTTTTCAAAAACAGAACATAAGTTTTTGTCATGAATCAATATCAAAATGTGCAGGCTTCCTTTCTGTACTTCATGAACAAAGACTTGTAAGCTATGTATTATGCTGGTTCTTATTAACATTCCATGTGACATTGTCTTGTTCTGGATCACATGGAAGAGAGATGAATTAGGAAAATCTAAATTCCTATCTTTTTGTTGTTTATGTGTACACAATAAAACCCACCTATACTGACAGTAACATGGACCAGTGATATTTTTGTGTCGATAATATGGTGATCAAGTTAGAGATGGGTTGCAGTGGCCTTTTTGTTTTTCTACGTGCAGGAATTTTTCTAAGACTTGTTTTGTTCTTCGTGTAGCTTGAGAATACTGTGAGGTTACTGTTGGATTTGGAACCGGAGTCAGATCCAGTGTGGCATTATTTGAATATACAGGTTTGAAAATTCCTATTCATGCCATGTATTTGAAATATTTGCCATTTAGTTTTCATATTTACTGCCAGAGTTGTTTTGACTATATACTAAACAGTGCTAGTGCTAAGGAGTAATGATAAAATGCCAACAGGTAGGATGTTGCTGTTGGTAATGTTGTCGTAGGCCTGTTGTGAAGACTAAGAATCATGTTGATTTGTACCCGCTGCCCCCTTTAACATTTTTCACCCTTTTTAATTGTTTTAGAACTTGTCATTTTCACTCTCATTGGATGGCCAAATTATTGAGTCCATTGGGTTTGTTTCCTTCACAGAATCAGAGAATTCGTGGTTTGCTTGAGAAGTGTACTTTAGATCATGAGGCCAGAATGGAAAATTTGCATAATGAATTGCATGAAAGGGCTCTTTCTGATGCCAGATGGAGGCAGATTCAAGAAGAATTGAGTGAATCTGTAGGTGCAGAATTTATTGTCATGTAATGTTATTAAGCAGGTTAAAAATTTGGTATTAACTTTTTCTTAATATTCTTTTTATAACTATTGTCAGTCAGATATCAACAACTCTCCTGTTCTTGGTAATACCCATTCCGCTGTCCAGTCTCATCCAGTAGATCTAACTGGTGAAGAAGTTGATGGTTTAAGAGGAAGGTATATCCGCAGATTAACTGCTGTAATCATCCATCACATACCAGCCTTCTGGAAGGTTGCACTCTCTGTTTTTAGTGGAAAATTTGCAAAGGTATTATGAACATTTTTTTTTTAATTTTCTGTATGTATATGCATGAGTTATTTATGACATTTTGTTTTGATTCTGAATGAATGCATGTCTGGATTTTCATATTTTCTTTTCTTTATTCTTTGTTTCTGCTTTCAAGTTTTCAGTTTCACTTCCTCTGTAATGTAGACTCCATAGGATACTTCTGGAAATGCAGTTAGGATCTTGTGTTCGTATTTTACCATTCTATATATTTTGTTTCAATGTTGTTTATTTTCTTCAAGTTGTCATGCATAATTACATCTGCTATATTTTTGTGGTACCTTTTTCTTTTCTAGTCTTCCCAAGTTCCCAGTGATTCAAATTCCAACAGTTCTGCAAATAAAACTGAAGAAAAAGCTGGAGATGGGAAATATTCAAGTCATTCTCTTGATGAAGTTGCCGCAATGATATGCAACACAATTTCGGTGTATGGGGTCAAGGTAACTGTGTTCACATGACCCTCTTTCCTGCTATAAAAATATATTTTTTTCCAATCTTGCAATCTCGTTAAAGTATTATGGCCTGAAAAAATAGTTTTCTGATTTTTCCTCCAGTGTTATATTTGTGTGTTTTATAGCATTATCTTTTGGGTGTTATATTTGTGTGTTTTATAGCATTATCTTTTGGGTTTTTTATTTTTTATTTTGGTTTCTGATTGGACTTCATGGGCTAGAAATGTTTGTGGAATTTTCCCTGTTTAGATTTACTTGAACTTCTATCTGGCTACAGAGCAAATGATATATTTGATTTGACATCAAAATTGAACAAACCGTGCAAAATTTTGCATAAAAAAGATTGTCAAGAGGCTCATATAAAAGATATATTGGTGTGTTGTCCTTAGTCTTTCTGATCTGAATAATCTTTTCTTTGATCCTGTCATTCTTATGCTATTAGGCTAACAGAGTTTTTTGGTAATGCTGTCTATCCTGTCATTCCTAGATATCTAGTTTATTCAGTCTTGTATTTTCACCTATGTTTCAAGATCCGGCTTGTATTTGGCTCCTCTTCCTTCTCTCTCTCTAGTCCTAGTTGTTATATTTGGAAACTTATTTTTATATCAATATAAGATCATGGGTTACCTGCATCCCAAAACCTAATCCAGTAATTTAGAAGTATTTATTATAACATGTTTGATTTGACAAGTAGAATGTAGTCCATGGTTTTCTCTTTTCCCTATTGGTATTTCATACATATCCTGATAGTCTCTCATTGATGCAGGTTACTAACATTTTTCGTGATCTAGAGGAATCAAATGTCCTCCGGTCCTACATGAGTGATGCCATAGAAGATATATCCAAAGCATGTGTAGCTTTGGAATTGAAGGAAGCTGCACCTCCGATTGCTGGTATTAATTCTCTGAATCTATAAAGTTATTGCCATATGTTAAGATTCTGAGTGCTTGTCATTCTTTTTGTTCCAGTCGGTGCTCTTCGAACACTGCAACCAGAGATTATAAGGATTTATGTTCTGAGGCTATGCTCTTGGATGCGAGGGTCAGTTGAAGAGGTTTCAAAGGATGTGACATGGGTTATTGTTTCAATTCTTGAAAGGAACAAATCCCCATATGCAATCTCATACCTGCCTTTAACATTCCGTTCAGTTGTGTCTTCAGCAATGGATCAAATCAATTCGTAAGTCTAAATATTATCCTATAGGATCTGATATGGTTTTTGCTCAATGAAAATTACATTAATTTTATAACTTTTATTTACCAATTATGTATGCATATTCAAACCTACCACATGATAATATCATCTTATAATTTCAAATTTCTTCATGTGTCTGACCAATAAATACAGTTTGGTTTTTAGAGGAAAAGGAAAAGGATTAGTGGGCAGCAGAATCATAGATTTAGATTTGTATATGACCAACTCTTCTAAAAACTTAAGCTTTTAAGATAGAGGACCAGTAATGGTTTTATAATTATATCTATAACAAGTTGCCTCATGCAACAGTACTTTAGGCTTGAAATATGGGAAATTTACATACTCAGTTTACCTTATGCTGAAGTTTAACTAAGTTATGAAGAATAGGGGCGGTAAGGATTGAAATCCCAACTAGTTTTTCATGGAGGCTTTGATACCATGTCAAAGGCCAATTCTCCTTAAACATTAAGCTTTTAGGTAGAGCCGTAGAGGCCCAACAATAATTTTATATCTCATAAGATTCATGTTAATGAAGATTTGGGGAAATTATTTTTAGGAAACACATTATAATGCAGTTACAGAGGCACTAAACCTTTTCCTGGCTGGTTTTAGTTTATTTTTAAAAATTAATTGACAAACTGCAGCAGAATAAATATAAAATAGAGTAAAATAATTGTAGGACTAAGCTCTTTATAGCTAATCATTTAAGAAAAAAATACAGGCTGAAAAATATAAGTTTATATGGATGAGCAGGAATAACAAAAAGTGCCTGTTTGTTGTAGTGTTGAAAAAAATGCATATAACTTTTTTATTGAAAATAGATAAAAATTTCATAGTTGTCATGAAGGAAATTGTTGTCGTTATAATGTTTTTCCAAAACAATCAAAAGCCTCTTTTATTTAATTTAGAAAAGACTTAAGCTGAAAGAAACAGAAGAATGGAAAAAGAATTTGCCCCAAACTTTAGTCAATTCCATTGAATGTCTCTTTTGGGAAAAATCGCAAGAAAACTTGTTATATTCAATTTTGAAAAGTAATATCAGTTATTTGTGAACATCTTAAAGAAAAAATGTCAAACATCTTAATGAGAACCCTGTTCCCTGCTTTACAACTGGTATTTATTTTATTTAAAATTTAGTGTTAATATTTCAATAATGATCTCTGCAGGATGCTTCAGTCCTTAAGGAGTGAGGCAACAAAGTCAGAGGATACATTTATGCAACTTCAAGAAATTCAAGAATCTGTTAGACTTGCATTTTTAAACTGCTTCCTGGATTTCGCTGGTATGTTGAATTAGTTGACCTAATCTTATGTCCAATAGCATACTTTTCCAGATAAAAGAAATAAAGGGAAATGAAAGTAAGTTAATGGAAGAACAAAATGGTGTTGGATCACTTAAATTTTCAGTTATAAAGTGGGTTTCTGTGGTTGTTTGTCAGGTAATTTAGAGCGCATTGGAATTGAAATTGGCCAACATAGATCCGACAAAGAAGGCTCCCAGTTGCCAAATGGATATACTCATGAATTAGAAGAAAATGCTCCTGATCTTCAAGGAGGTGTCAGTGATCCCCATCAACAGTTATTGATTGTTCTAAGCAATATCGGATATTGCAAAGAAGAACTTTCTTATGAGTTGTATGACAAATATAGACATATCTGGATGAATTCCAGGTACCTTGTCATTGTTGTTCCCTTCTTACTTTATGAAAGAGATTAATTTGTGCAACGTCTATCGACATGAGTAAAATTTTTTGGCATTCATAAGGAATGCGTACTATTAAAGTTGAGTGAGGTTTGCTGACCTGTTTAGGTTGCAAGAGCTAGCCATGCTAGAAAATTATCATTTGGTTCATATCAGAATTTACTCAGGTTTTTTTAATCTGTTAGTCCTGTCTGCTTTGATGTCTTCAAAATAATTTGCTTGTCAGCATTCATTAAATATGATGGCTTTGTTTATATTTCAATTTTTTGTACTGCAATGTTTAATTGAGAGTTGGGACTGGGATTTAATTTGGCTAGCAATAATTTTCAACTGATCAAATTTCTTCTCTCGTTTTATCCCCTAGGTGACTGACTAGTCCCATTGTGGTATTTGTGGTATTTAGTGTTTTACTAAAATATTTTCGCCTATTTTGTATTTACTAGTACATTTTGGTTCTTTGTTTCCCTTTAATTCAGGGGGAAGGATGAAGGAAACAGTGATGTACAAGATCTTGTGATTTGTTTCTCAGGGCTTGAAGAGAAAGTCCTTGAACAATATACTTTTGCAAAGGTAGGGAAATAACGGGGAGGGAAGTAGATGAATATAGAGGCTATAATCAGAGTTACTGGAGCATCTAATTACTATTTTTGGTCTGTGGATACCATTGTACTTGTTAATTATTCTGAAAGCTACTTTTCTGGATTATGTGAAATACCTGCCTTTTGTTGACAGTTTCGTGGTTGTTTTATAAAAAACTATTATTTAGAATAGTAGACCTTGCCTTTTGTTTCTCAAATATTGAAATACAGTCATATTCTACACAAAATAAATTATAAGGTTTTGTGTACTGATGGATAGTAACCACCAGCTCCTCTTCCTCCATGTCTACTAGCCTGTATTCTCTGCAGCCCCAGTTTCAGCCGTTGACTATGAATAATGAAAGAAAATAAATGAAGAAATTAATTTCTACTTCTGCGTAAGTTATGCAAAGCTCTAAAATCAAGTCAGCTAATAACAGATGGTCCATGATTAGTCTCCATTAAAATATTTTTAAAGTATATGTTGAGTTGTGTTTGATTTGTTGGAATATTGACTTTTAAGTACTGTAAAACATTTGAATTTAGATTAATAGTGGTCCAGAATAAAAAAAGGGTATTCTGAAGCAGGAAGGACCAAAGTTGTAAGAATCAATTCAACTCAAAAGCTTAAGCTGTTGGGTGAGGTTACATTTGATGGTTTTATATTTTTCTAATATAGCCCCTCACACGAAAGCCAATTGGGCTTGACTGCTGGATATGCATCAAGCCCAACCTATATGTGCTAAGAAACTCCACAATATTTAATTATTAAAATGGGGGGCGGTGAAGATAGAACTTGTGACCACTTAGTCATGTTGGCTCTGATACCATATAAAGAACTAATTCAACTCAAAAACTTAAGCTGTTGAGTGAGGTTACATTTAATGGTTTTATATTTCTCTAACAGGTAGTAATACTGGACATACTCTTTCTTGTTGGAAAAAAATTGCACTGTGTAGTCCTGCTTTTAATGTTCAGTACCTTGATGCTTTGTGTTTTTATCAGGCAAACTTGATCAGATCTGCTGCCATGAATTATCTGTTGAATTCTGGCATCGAATGGGGAGCAGCACCGGCAGTTAAAGTGAGGAACTAGTGATGATAGTGTTTATTGTAAATATGACAGTTATCATTATTTATTTGTTTGTTTTCCTTTAAAATGATTTTTGACCCCCCTGCCCCTTTTTTTGGAAAATGCTGTTTTGGTTTAATGTTCCATGGTATGCTGGTTTCTTTCAGGGTGTCCGAGATGCAGCAGTAGAGTTGCTGCACACATTGGTAGCTGTGCATGCCGAGGTAATTATTCCATGCCATATGGGATATAAATCCTACGTTCATTATTTTTAAGGGCCAGTTTGGTAGCAGGATTTTTTTTGTTATCCTGGAATTCTTTGGTTGGGCAAATAGGAATGTATCGTTTGGTACAAGATTTTTAAAAAATTTTCGGGAATCTGATTTTTCCGGGATTTTATTTTGTGTGTAAATTTTTTTGAAAATACCATCCAAGAATACCGCCCACGGGGTGGTATTCTAGGATTTCCATGGCAAGGGAAAATTAAATGCAACCAAATATAGCATCAAGAAAATTAACCCAACATTCCCGGGAATATTTTAACCTACCAAATAACTTTTTGGTAATATTCCCAGAAAACTCATTTTCTCATCATATTCCTAGAAATCATGATTCTCATAAAAAAAAATTCTCTTCTACCAAACGCCCCCTAAAGGTAAAAGTCTAGTTTTATTTAAGGAAATAGAAACACAAAGCATCGGAGGATAAGATACAAAATCCAGCAAAGGATTTCTCTTTATATCTGCCGAGGAGACTACTTCATATAATACACCATGTGCTGAACACCACAAAGGCCATGAAAAAGCTGATTGTTTAAAGTAAATCTAGAGATCACAGATTTCCTTTAAAAGTCTGAGCGTTCCTTTACAATCAAAGACGCTAAAGGACTAGAATCAGATAGCACCTATGAAGCACCGACACTTCAAAAATCCTGACGTGTCATATCCGACACTCCCCGACACTCCAATACGCGTTATAGAAATTCAAAAAAGGTTCAAAGGTTGCATTACGTTGAGTTTTTAGTTCCAACTATTAGATTTGTTGGATTACGATTACCATTTTATTAAGTTTAATATAAATATTTAAGATATCTTATGTTTCTTTGCAAAATTGATGAATATTATAAGTTTAGTTTTATTTTTTTGTTAAATTATTAAATATTAAACATAATATACACTACATAAATTAAAAAATTATTTAATACCAAAACGTGTCCTAACGTGTCGAAATCTTACATTTTTTAGAATTAACGTGTTGGAGTATCGTATCACGTGTCCCGTGTCAGTATCGGTGCTACATAGGATAGCACTGCTATAATATGCTTCTTACTCTGGAAAAAATATAAAGCAAGAGAAAATGAAGGAAAGAGAGGGAAAAGAGACGATAGAAAACTGAAGAGAACTAGTCTCTATAATCTGAATAATATGAAATCTGTCTTCACTGATACACAGTGAAGATATTTATAGGGTACAGCTGTATAACAGACAACTGAATAACAGAATAACTGATCTGAAACAGATCAGTAACTAACTAGCTAACTAACTGACAGCTAAGCTAACTGAACCTGAACCGACAAAACTAACACTGAACAGTTGTACAATACTACGTATACTAATACAAGGACAATACTATTCATATTTAATATAGGACAAAAACGGTGAAGTTGCTGACAAGGAAATTGCCCCAACTTGAATGCGTGGCTGACTAGAATTACCAAAAATCCTCTGAGTTATAACCAGATGCTGGTCAATGTAGAAATACATGTTTCTATTTTTGAATTAGATTATTGGTTCAACGCATCAGGACTACTGTCCAGGTGAAGGACTTGACCTTAGAATGGGCTTTTCTATATCAGATGTTTGACGAAGTAATATTCTGTGTTCAGAAAGTTAATTTTATGCTCATTTGACTATGGATACTTTTTATGGACCTGTGTTAATGGTATTATACTTTGCTAAACTTTTGAAGTAGTCTGTTCACATTGGTTTTGAGGCCATACACATCTAGAATTCTGAGCGGATAACCTTCATATGATGTTTTGAGCATCTAGTCACAAGCAGATCCTTACTTTAAAAACTTAGTTTTTAAACACTGCTTTTATGTTTAAAGTTTAAATAATCTGATCAGCACTAGCTTAAGCAAATAATTGTTTTACTGTATTTGCTCAAGAGTAGTCTGCTGAGATGAACTGTTTTTTGCCATAGGTTTTTGCTGGTGCTAAACCTCTCTTGGATAAAACACTTGGCATTCTTGTGGAAGGCTTGATTGACACATTCATCAGCATTTTTCATGAAAATGAAACTAAAGATCTTAGAGCACTTGATACAAATGGATTCTGTCAACTAATGCTTGAGGTAAGTTGAAGTGCTGTGGAATATTAAGCCCTACATGATAATAGATAGTGTGTATTAAGCCCTTGGTGAAGCTTGTGGCATGCTTGACTTAGGAACAGGGCAGCTTCCTCCCCTCCGGCTTCCCCTAAACTTTGATGTAATGGGGAAAAGAAAAGAAATGTTCTATTAATAATTTATGCTTCTGATGATGAGTAAAGATGGAGATGTTAAAATTGGGCAGTTTTAACCTACCATTTTTTCTTGCTTGACAAGCTTCCCCTTTCCCACTGTTCTTTCCTAACTGTACAAAGTAAAAAAGAAACCCTCTATAACGCATACTGTAGTTATTCCACTTACCCCCACTTTTCATTCTGTACACTACCAAGACTAACAATGAGGTTCTTTGGTGGCCCTTTATTTCAAAAAAGCTTTGTCTGGGCATTATTGATGCTCTCCAGTCTCCACAGTGGGGGAAGAATAAGAAAGCACCTATTTTACTGTGGGAACTTGAGAATAATAAGGAACCAGGAAAATGTATTGTTTATGACGTTTTTTTTCAGTAATATGCTAAAACGTGAGGTGCTTCTATCATGTAGTCTTCATGGCCTTTACCTGCAGTATTATTCAGACATAATGACTAAGAACTTAATTTTTGGCTCAGATTGTTGATTAATTGACTCGTATCTCTGCAGCTTGAGTACTTCGAGACTATATTAAACCCATATTTTACATCTGATGCAAGAGATTCCTTGAAGTCTTTACAAGGTTTACTTTTGGAAAAAGCCACAGAGAGTGTGACTGAAGCTGTCGACAATCCAGGACATAATCGTCGGCCAACTCGTGGTAGCGAAGATGCACTAGCAGATGATAAACAACAAGGAACAACCGTATCACCAGATGAGCTCATTGTAAGCAACTTGTTAATGTAGTAGTTGGGTATTCATTTCACATGTCTAAATGCTGAGAATGCTGAATGAATTAGTGATTATTTTTGTTCCATGATTTGTGCTGGATTTGAACGAGGTTTATTTGATGTGGTTTTTTTATGTTGTGAAAAATGGTTTACTTGCTTGGAAAGGATTTATATTGGCTCTAGTACAAGTCGTCATATGATAAATTATGTTACTATATTTACTGTCTAATGCGGCATATTTTTTGTATTTCAGTCTCTTGCGCAGCAGTTCAGCTCCGAGTTTCTTCAGTCAGAGCTTGAGCGCACACGAATTAACACAGCATGCTTTGCAGAATCTATTCCTTTGGACTCGGTGCCAGAGCCAGCCAAATCTGCCTATTCTCCCTTCAGGAACGCAATGGAGTCTCCTAGCAAAAACTACAGAGGTACCTATAATACTGGATCCTCAAGTTTCTCACGGCATAGACATTGATGATTATAAATTAGCACCCATATTCTTTTAGTTTGTTTGCCTATTATGTATTCATTGTTGTATTTTTGTTTATATGGTTAATGAAAAATTGTATTCTTTGCATTGTTGTTTTGTCTTCTTTGTTTGTAAAGGTGGATGACAATTACCACATTTTAACGAGTTTTGAATCATATGTCGGCCTTTTTGTGTGCCTTAAACCGTAAGTGCAGTCAGTTGTCATTTAAGTTTTAAATGTGGGTTATTTGTTATAGCTTAATTGCTGGAGCCTTTGAATGTGTATACAGTAAATCAAGGAAGCAAATTCTACATGGAGTGAGATTAATGAATGTGGCTTGTCCGTCATCTCTGTTAAGCGTTGCATTAAACAAACCAAAAGAATATGCACTTTTATCTGATTGGTAAAATTTAGTTATGGTTCCCGAGGTATCTTGTTTTACATTTAGTTCAGACTTTTCAATCTGCAGATATTTCTTTTTTTTGTTACGATTATTATGTTCGGATTTTTCAATCTGCAGATATTTCTTTTTTTTGTTGCGATTATTATAAACTACGCCTAATATTTTTTCTCGTAAACTTATAATTAACATTTATTTTAGAATTGTTATATTTTTCTGAAATCATGATTGCATTATAATTACTCGTGGATTCTAATTGGATGCTTGATGAGGTTATTTATTGTTGCTGTATTATATTTTAGACGATTGTTTTGATATTCGTGATCCTGTAAGAACATTATTTTCATGTGTTTATTGAACAGAAAAATATGGTGGAATTTTATTAAATACAAAATTTCCTTTGTACAATATATCTGATAATAATTTATTTCTAGTTGCACTAAAAGAATATATATTTAATAAATAGTGTACATTTACCTTTTGATGCAGTGACCGTTTGGATGGACTTCTAACAAAAGCGGTTTTTATTTTTTATTTATTTTAGAAATATTTTTTACAAAATATAAAGCTATTTAGATTTTTTAATAATATTTGATTTTTTTATTTATTTATTATTTTTTTTTTTTAGAAACTAAAAAATTTAACTTAAAAAAAAAAGTAAATTTTTGACTTTTTTTATGATTTCTGTTTATTTTTAAAGCAAATATATAAACGGATTTATAGTGAGAAGTGTTTTTTTTCTTGAAAAAAAAATAATTTGTGGAGAAGAAAAAAGTTCATTCAAACGGGCCTTAAGACATTGTTCATTTTAATTTTTTTGACAAATTATATATCAATTTAATGCAAGTGAAATATGCATGGGAAGTGTACACTTTTAAGTTGTGCATTACATATATACGCGATTTGTACAAAAATCAGTGCAATGCAAGATGCGTACTTTTGAAGTGCGTGTTCAAGTCGCACACGCATCTCATACATGTTTTGCAAAGTACAACACTTGGCAAGTATGCTTCAACTTTTGCATTAGTAACACATGGTGGTGATGCACAATTTAAACGTGCACATTTCTCATGCGTGTTTCACTTGTATTAGATTAATAAATAATTTGCCAAGAATTAAATGAGTAATATATTTTATGTTCTGCTTCAGAAAAGTAAAAAAGCCGAAAAAGAAATAAATTTTTTTATTTGTCAAATTGTGTTCCTGGTTCTGGAAAAATAAAATAAAATAATTTTATTAAATACTATTTTAATTATTTATGTTCACTAATAAAAAAGAAAGGGTTTTGTAGATTACATAATAATCTTCTATTATCTTCATCTCATTTAAAAAAAAAAAAAAAAAAAAAAAAACTCTTAATCAAGAGATATACTAAAACTCTGTCCTCCCTTTTCCTTTCCCAAATCTCCCATTCAGATATGATTTTAATTTTCTTTCTTCTTTTTTCCCAATTAATGATTTATTTGGGTGTTGGGACTTTGGAGGTGAAGGGAGAAAACAGAATCAAAGAGGAAATGAAAGGAAGAGAATACGATGTTAAGAGTTAGTTTGGTACACTTAAAAATAAGGGAGAAAAATTCAGCAACGAGATTTCATTCATATTTGAATTGAATTATTATTTCACCTCATTTTTAAGGGCAAGTAACTTAAATTAATCAAATATAATAAATAATTTTTAAATGAAGCAAATTTTGTTATGAAAATACTTAGTTGAACATGTTTTTAGGAAAATATCCTTTATAATGTGTTTTAAGTTTGAAGCAATTTTTCTTTTGGTTTTGAGGCAATTTAATGAGGTGATGGAAGTTGAGGTATGGGATTCATGAGTTGTGAAAGTTTGTAAACACAATCATGCAACAAGCACACGTAAGGTTTTGGTGCGCTCTGGCTGTGTTTCCTTCGGCTCAAACAAATAGATATGTTCATTGAACTCAACATGAACCAAAGTGTACATGCAGACCACTCATCCTCGGCAAAAACAGCATATCCCATTAGGCACTTGCTATGTCTTTGACTTTACATTGTCTTCTTAATAACGACAAAGTTTTCAACAATTTTAAACTCCACTTCCAAGAGCCTTAATCATATGGTCAAGTCGTCATCCATGTTATGCTGTTCTCTTTTAATTATATATATATATATATATATATATATATATATATATATATATATATATATATATATTATATATGATTTTAAACTTCAACTAACAAATCATATGATTAAAAAATTAAAGTCATTAACTAAAAGTTGAATCAACAACTAAGATTCAGTATAAGAATTTATACTGGCACAAATTGATTCTGTAAGTCCATACTGATGTTGTATATATTTGATAAAAATTAATTAGTTTTTGAAAAAAAAGATTGTAATAGAAACTAATGTATAATCATTATTGAGTACATAAATAAATTAAAATTTATTCTTGCACACCATTATGCTTATATCAATTTTAAACGTTATTGAATTATTGGTTACGCATAAATTGATTAATGAGCTAATGATTGTTTAACAATTACCATAATAAATGAATCCGTTACTATTCTGTTATCCAATCTATATACAATATCAACTAATAATTTATTCATTGTTAATCATTGTAAAAATAGTGTACAAAATCTAGTATGTACATAAGATAACTAACTATACATGAGTCAATGACAAACAAAAATTCAAAGAAAAAAAATGAAAAACAAAATTACTGGGGTTGCGATGCCACCAAAGACGATTGGTAGGTGGCGGCAACTCCTAAGACATAAAGAGAAAGGAAAAATAAATAGAAATCTCCCAAGAGGTGTGATAGTCATTAATCATTTAAAACAGACACATAATTAGGGTTAAAAAACAAAAGGTACACAAAAGCGTATAAGAGGAAATGTTGGTATAGGGGCTTATCATATTATATAAGGGATCTATTTATGATATAATTATCTCATGCAACAGATATAAAATAGTGAGGTCCACTATTTAAAAAAATAAAATAGTGGACTCAACTGCTTTGTCTCTGTTGCATGAGATAATTATTTCCTATTATATAATAAGGGTTTTATAAGAGTTATGTTGTAGAAAAAGTTATTGTGTTATGTTATAGAGATTCGTTTTGCGTGCTGAAGTTTTTTTTTTTTTTTTGTTGCGGACCCCACAAAATGTTGTATGTGTAGGAAACTTTTTGTGGTCATGTTAAATGATAGATGATAAACCCATATAATAATGCAAAACACATAAGACTTAATAATTAGCTACTATTTGACTATTTCTATACAACTCCGTCCAAACTTTAACAAAACAATGTTTACATGGAACTACGTTAAAAGAAGTAATTTAAAAGCTGCACCAAAGAGTCAAGTTAAAAAGAAAATCATCTAAGACTATAATGTCAGTGCTTTTACTGTGTAAACCCCTCGAGATTTAGTGTTGATTTTTAAATTTTTTATCTATACATAATTATATTGTTAGAATATTCAAGTACGATAGAATTTTATATTAGTAATAGGTTAAATAAAGTGAATCTAACTAAGAGGATCCATTGAAACATAATATTAAATCTACTTATCATAGTTGATGTAGCTTAATTCATTGATAATAGTCGTTTGTCATGAACTGCCTTGCACCCGCCTAATATATGTTTGGACCTTTTACATCTAATATATTAGGGTAAAAGTGGTGAGCTTTAATTTGTTTTCTATCAAGTTTATATTTAAATATTAAAAAGGTTACATTATTCTTATTAAAAGAATCTTGATTTTTTATAAATTATTTTATTAGAGTTATAATATAAAAATTATTATGTAACCTTACTTAATAATTTAAATTTTAGGTTGAATTAGTTTTTTACATAATATCAGAGTCTCTATAGTTAAGTAGTCACAAATCCCTTATGTATTAGAAAAATATAATATAAAAATTATTAATATAATTTTATCTAAAGGAGCTTTTGGGTTAAAAACTTAAAATGATTAGAGAATTTAAAACTGATCTTATTTAAATTTTATATGTATCCCAATATTGTGGAAATTAAAAATTAGAGAATTATTCTTGTCATTGGAAAACCCTTCGAAGGCGAGAATGGAAGTGATACAGTAATTTCGTACAACATATTTTTGCAATAAGACAATAAACAATGAAGAGATCGGTTGTAAAATTCAGAATTACGAATGAGATTCTTACTGTTTACTCGTGTCTGTCATGAGGGAAAATATTCTATTTTATAAAAAATAGTCGTCTTATTTAAAATAACACAAAGGTATATATTTTAAAATGGTAAACGTTTTTTTTTTTTTTTATGTATTTCAAGAAAAGATATACCATGTATATCAGCACGTGACTTGTAGGTGTTCTCTCCATTGGTGTAAGATTGCACCATTTAAAAATAACTTAAATCTCCAATATTGAAGGCGTATATCTAATTGCGTTCATTTCACTGATTAATTTGTTTTTTCTTTTATTTTTAATGTAATCATATATTACAGTGTGTTATAGAAGTCTTATAATATAAAATAATATTGTTGAGCACAATCGTTATAAAACTTCGAATTTAATGAGACACTTTTAGAAAGCTATCGTATGGAATGGTACTTATAAATTTGTAGTGCTAATAAAAGAAAAAAAAACGACACAGTATATCCAATGTCTATTGAGAATTTATGCACTAGTATTTTATTTGAGCTGTCGACACATCATCTATTCTCAGTTCAAGCTGGTAAAAAGATGATGCTGACACATTACTGAATATATTCCTGTTAAGAATAAAAGAACCACGAGCAGCCGTTTATTAAGAATTCAAAAAAGTGTCTATGAAATAGGGATAAATTTTAGATTTTCGATATTGAAAATTTTATTTACTTATATTTAATATAAAAAATTTATTAAAAAAATTAAATTCTCGAAATTTAAAATTGTAAAGCAAAATTCATTGGGTAGTATTCTTAGATGAGGAGGTTATACTGACTATCTTTTTTTATTATTTCTTATTATCAAATTTTAATAGTTATTTTTGTTAATATAACAGTTATAATTTATTTAGTCATAT